GTCAAACGCGTTTTCACTCCGTTCGCCTCGACCTAGGTAATAGTCTGTGAACAGATGGGGAAAACGACGATTCTTTCGAGTGCAGTGAAACTCAAAATGATTGGATGAATGTTTCATAGAAAATGAAGTTAGATTTTCTGATTTTGATTATATTTGAATCAGTCTCTGACCACGAAGAATTCTAGAGTCATTTGAAAAACTAGCGCCACCTATAGTAGATTTTCGCAAATATCGCCAGAATGGTGCGTTGTCAGAAACTGCGCCTCACACTTTTAGAATAAGAAAAATAAGCTTGATTTTTTGTGAAATTTCCATCCAATCATTTTGAGTTTCACCGAACTTAAAATTACAATACTCTTCATCACTAGATATCACGTACTATAAGTAAGCTAGTAGATTGCACGGGGTATACTGAACAATTTTTTCTTCTGCATCAGTATTTTTTTTCATAGCATATGTACAAAACAGAAGAAAGATGTACACACTACTTAACACGTTTCTGGAAAAAATAGAAGATGTGCTGTAGGTTTTAGTTAAGACGTTAACTCTTTTTTTCAGATATCGTTCAGTCTAATTTTGATAAATAAAATACTGAATCAAGATTTATTATGATTTCATAGGAAATGTTTTGGATCTTTCTCATATGAGACAAAAATAAGAATATGTTTTGTAATTATTGTTAGCCACTATTATCGACATATATACATATATTATTGAATGATAATAAAATTTTTTCTTCTTGTGTTTTTAGATTTCTCTACAAAATTGTACCGTTGTGCATTTTGACATACCGTTTTTACCAAGAGAAAGTGTACAAAAATATTTTTTCCAAGTTTTCCTTGAAAATGGTTATTCTTAATAGACTAGAAAAGTTTTCGATATTTCTTGTTTTCTAACCGTTTCCATCCGTCCTACTATGTCTATCATTTATGTATCGGACATACTTTTTTTCATGAGAAAAAAAAACAATCGTCCGAAGAACACTGCGACCAAGGTAAGCTGTTATCGGAGAGAAGGAAAGAGAAAAGAAAAATTATATTTATAAAGAATGCGTTGCATGTAATGATATAAGAACAAGTCGTCTTATCGCGTGTTTAAACTTTGATTTCAAGAAGTATATAACTGCACGGTGTAATATTACTATTTTCGATAATAAAAAGATAAAATAAAGGATAGGACAAAAGGAGTAGTTAAATGTAAGAGCATACGGATAAGATCAAAATTAAATGAAACATGCTGATCTTAGAGTTTTTACATTTATCTTTTATATTTTAGATTTGTTTTTTAGATTATTTTGTATAAAATAATTATTTTAATCACTGATACATATTCGAACAATGTCATATTATCCACGTAATATGCTTGGTTATGGTCAACATCCACCGAATCCTCATTGGCCAAATGGTGCTTACATTGCTGTTCAATTCGTTCTTAACTATGAAGAAGGTGGTGAAAATAATATTTTACATGGAGATGCTGCATCTGAAGCATTTCTTTCTGAAATTGTTGGTGCTGCTTCATGGCCTGGTCTACGTCATTGGAATATGGAATCCATCTATGAATATGGTGCTCGAGCCGGTTTTTGGCGTTTACATCGTCTTCTTACGGAAAAGAATATTCCCGTCACTATCTATGGCGTTGCAACTGCTCTTATGCGCTCACCTGCACAAGTTAATGCTATGCTAGATGCTGGATGGGAGATAGCTTCACATGGCTATAAATGGATTGAACATAAAGATATGTCTGAAGAAGTTGAACGTCAACAAATTAATGAAGCTATTCATTTACATACTCTTGCTACTGGTCAACGCCCAACGGGTTGGTATACTGGCCGATGTTCGATTAATACGGTAAATCTTGTTTCTGAAGAAGGTGGATTTGAATATGTTTCCGATACTTATGATGATGATTTACCTTATTGGTATGAATATAAAGGTAAAGCACAATTGATTATTCCTTATACATTAGATGCCAATGATATGAGATTTGCAACTCCACAAGGTTTTAATTGTGGTGATCAATTTTATACTTATCTTAAAGATGCTTTTGATACACTTTATGAAGAAGGAAAAAGAGGAAATCCAAAGATGATGACAATTGGATTACATTGCCGTTTAATTGGTCGTCCTGGTCGAATTGCTTCTTTAATTCGGTTTATTGATTATATAAAGAATCATGATAAAGTTTGGATACCAACTCGGATTGATATTGCTCGTCATTGGAAAAAAATGCATCCTTATATTAAACCAAATCTTGTACCATCAAAACTTGATCGAAGTACATTTATAGATCGATTTGGATCCATTTTTGAACATTCATCATGGATTGCAGAACGTGCTTTTGATAGTGAACTTGCTCCAGCTAATAATACAGCAAGTGGTCTGCACTTTGCTCTACGAACACAATTTCGTGCAGCATCAGATGATGAACGTTTAAAAGTATTAGTTGCTCATCCAGATTTAGCCGGAAAATTAGCTGCTGCAAAACTTTTAACAGCTGAATCAACAAATGAACAAGCTTCTGCCGGTCTGGATATGTTAACTAATGAAGAACGAACGAGTTTTACTGAATTAAATGATAAATATACTAAAAAATTTTGTTTTCCGTTTATAATTGCAGCAAAAGATAATACAAAAGCAAGTATACTTGAAGCTTTCAAATGTCGACTTGAAAATGATCGTGAAACTGAATTTCGAACAGCATGCGCCCAAGTAGAACGTATTGCTTATTTACGTTTGAAAGCTATTTTACCAGATTAACTCTTTTTGGTTCATAGGTATATTATTAATGATATATTCTTCGGTAAAGTTTTTTGGTGGTTTTGAATTTTTAATTGATTGTGTAGTTTAATTCAATATAATAATATAATAAATAATATAAAATATAAATGATTTTCATTTGTAGAATAATATTATTTAGGCAAATTTTTCTCAATTAAATGTTTATCTTGCAATTATATCTATACAGTGAATTCATTGTTAAAATATGAACAAAGCAAAAAAAAAACAGAATATAATGCATGGATAGATGAGCAGGATGATTGTTTCAGTTTTTACATTGACTTAAGAAAAACAAGGACAATGTTGTATTAACAGTGACGTATATGTTCTTTAGAATTTAGTTGTTCTTACTTATCTGTAAGTATGAATATTCAAAAGAACTGAAACTTATAATATTTAAATTTTAGTTAGATTGTGAGTTACTAGAAAACATACACAATTGATAAGCTATTCAAATTATTCTTTGACTTGTGAACTTTAGTAAGATAACGGTAAAAAACTGATATTTCAATTGTTTGTGATAAGAAGTTATTTTAACATTGTAATGAAGCTGAGTATTACATATTTACGAATTTTTGTTTTCCTAAACTGTTCTTAAAATTCATTCTATGTACAAGAGTTTCATGAGACAGTTTTGCGCCATTGGTCATGCGCACCTCTCTGTATTCCTTCTACGAATCCTTTCCATCAGTAGTAATTCATTTCTTCAGTAGTCTTTCAGAACACCTCAAGGTAGACTTGGTTCATATTGTATCGATTGATGTATGTCGACGTCGTAGTGGTGCAAGTTTTAATAGTGATGATCCATTCAAACCAAATCGAGTTGCAAGAATTAATCCAACATAGAATTCATGTTGCTATTTGTATGTCTACGAAGGTTGGGTATTTTGGATCCTGTGAAACACCAAAATAATTGAATTTTTTTCTTTTTTCTTTGAAGAAAAGCAGAACAAATAGTGATATACTTCATAGTATCGTCAGTGTTAAAGCAGACTAATTACATAAGAATATTTGTCTGAATTTAGATCACATTGGAACCGACGCGGTTGACTACTGTTACAAATTCAATCTGTATAACTATAGAGCAACTCTTCGACAACAATCATTCTTTTTTTTTCTATTTTATAATGTTAGTATTTAACAGATGAACAGAGTGAAATAAGTCTACGTCTAAGGTAATTCTAACGACTACAAGACCCTTCTGAACTTGTTAAGAAAAGTACGTTGCTATTTCTTTGTTTTTCTAACAAAAGAGAATTTCGAATTTAAATATATTGGACAGATAGCCAATTCAAAATTCGAGCTATGATAATGTTTTTCGAAAATCTGACTTCTATAATTTACGATTAATAAAATACTTTTAGACGTCTTAATTTTTTAAACTTTTTTATCGTGAGCTTTAGTCGTACATAAAATCGGGCGCATTTTCATGTTGATTGTCACATTTTAAACTTGGTTTTACGACAGTCAAGATAATTAGTACGTTACGTAAAGCCGGTATCTTCAATTGAAATACTTTGTAAACGAAGCTTATGAAAGTGATTGTAGGCGGTCTATCTGAAAGAAATTGACTATCTACAATGTTCCTAAACTCAGATATCAAAGAAAATAAAACTAATGCAAAATTTTTGTCCTATGATTACTCATTGTTTTCTGTAATATATTAAGTATAATTTTTCTTAATGAGGACAGTCTCCACACTGATTATTGAGTTTTCAATCGAGGCTATGTGTATCATATAGATTGCAATGAACTATAAATATTGTAGGAAGAGTTTGTGCCGTTAGCTCAAAGCCGTAGTGCTACCTCTTAGAAACACTAGAACAACTGATTTTGAAGCTTTTGGCTTGATACATTGTACACTGAAAAGTCTGAATGAGATTAGTTTATTGCCAGTGCTTCAGAACTTTTCATTGTTCTTATTCTGAGACACGGTTATGGTAACAGTTTGTCTTCTCCATCGTCATATTTACATCAACAGATTCGATGTTCTTCTTTAGAAATAAGAGTAAATATTTGTTTTTTTGTTTTTTATCGTTAATATAATAACTCCGTATCCCATATAATTCTATATTTAACGATCAATTTGCGAGAAAAACAATAAAAGAAGATTGAGACATAGGCATAAATACAGAAAAGAAAAAAAAAACAACAATTATAACGATTTAAAATGAGAAACATATAAAGAGAATTCATCACATCGAAATCAACGAACGATGATTATTCAGTATTATCAAGTTCAAGTAAAAAACTGGGTACCTAAATAAAGAAAAAAAAATAGAAGAGTCTTCAAGAAAAAAAAAATTTCTTTACTGTTAATCCTGCTGATTGAATTATATTTCTGCAAGTTGTTAATTGATCTTCATATGTTGAACAAAGGACAAGTAAATCGTTTTGTTCGGTTAAATTCTGTTGATAAGCAATATTTAATTTCTGATATTCATTATCTAATCGAGCTTTTTCATCTATTAATCCTTGCATTTGACTTTCAAGACTCTATAAAAATATATTAATAAAAAATAGAAAACAACAATAAATTTTATTGACATACTTCAAGGATTGATACTTTTCGTTTTTCATTAGCTATTTTTTCTTGTAAAACTCCGTTTTCTAATTGTAATCGAGCTATTTCATCATTTTGTGTTGCATACCTAATTAAATGATTAAGAGGGAATGTTTTTTTTTGTTTTTTCATATTTTATTCTTACTTTTCATCAAATGCATTTACTTTTTCTTGTAATTCAGTAATACGAGCTGTTAATGCTGCTCGTTCACCTACTGGAATTCGTCCATCGTTCTTTAGGAATATGATATCAGTATAGATTTAAGATGAGAATTGAACATATTTTTACCTGAATATTATGATTTTGATTGTTACTCAAATTCAATTGTTCAACTCCATTTTCAAGTCTAAAATATTTCAAATTAAAGATTAAAATCATCGTTTATTTTTATACAACTATAGACAAATTAAAAATCAGAAATCCAAACGAATCATCAAATCAGCTTGCTTACTTATTGTGAAATAAACGCATACTTCGACTTTCAAGCCAGTCATATTTTTTTGCTAAATTTTCACAAAGAAAATGCATTCTTTGAATCGGAAGTGTTGATCTTGATTTTGCCTATGCTCGAAAGAGACATAATGCCTTAAATCAATATCTATTTCATGATGCCTTTACCTTCTCATCAAGAAAGCCTTCTATTTTTCATTCATTTATCTTTATAATATAAGTATGTGAAGCAATACACAGGTTATGACAGATGACAGATCAAACCCATCAAATATAGACCTGTTTGAACCTCGGACAGAACTAGAAGTTCAAAAAAAACTTATTCTACACATCTGTTCAGCTACGTCCTTCGGATTTTAATGATATTTTTGCCTACGATTACTACATAGTGTTCATATAAAAATCTTAAAAGTATTTTGGTTCCTACTGATATTCGACTAAGATATTAAACTTTGATCTAAAACTTTGTGCATATGAAAAACTCAATATAAAAAGAATCACAAATTTTGAATAAAGTCTCTTCAACACACGACTCTTTCAAAATATAGATACTTTCATATGGATAGAGTATACAGCATGTATTTTTTTGAACGTTTTATATCTCGAAGACTTTGTTCTCAACTTCTGAATTTTTTTAATGTTGAGTTCTCTATATGCTCATAAAGATTTTAGATCAAAAAGTTCGATAACTTCGTCAACTACTAATATAAAATCTAATGCATTTGGTTTTTTGACCACAACACTATATAGTATCTATAAGCAAAAAATAATTGATATTGGAAGGAAACAGCCGAAGAGGTTCCCTCATAAGCATCAAGATGAAAAAAATACTTTGCATTCTTTTCCTAAGACTTATAGTTTAAATTATAAAAACCACTTATTCATAATATGTTCATCTAATTCAACAGTAAACTTACGAATTCATCAAAGTGAAATGCTGTTGCTGTTGTTGAGTCTATATGAAAAGAGCATATGAAAATGATAATGTTTTAGATTTCACATAATACATACAACAATATTTCTTAAATATTCTAATTCAATACGTTGTTGTTCACATATTGTTCTTAATTCATCGTGAGTATCTGGTCCTATTAATGAAATAATAATAAATAAATAAAAACAACTTAATACTAGTTTCATTTTAAACAAACAAACCTTGTTTAGTTGATATTTTTAATAAAGAATATTGATCTTTAACTTCTTGTAATTTTTGTTCTAAATCAGTAATTTTCTTTTTATAAATATAAGATTCCTCAATAAATTGTTTTTCTTGTTGTTTATATGCATTTATTTGTTGATCTTGTTTTCTAATTAAATCATGATAATGTGTCATTACTGTTGATGTTTGTTGATTATAAATATTTGTTGATATTGGATCAATAAATGATTTTTCATTTGAACTCATTTGACCTGTTATTAACATGCGTGTTATTGAACCTTCATATGTTTTATATAAACGAGCAAATTCGTAATCAAGAATCATATCATTTGTTTTGGATATTTTTAATTGTGGTTTTTGTAATGTTTTTGCATAATATTCCGATTTAGAAAGTGTTTCAAGTTTCTCTTGAAATAAATCGATACCAATACGTTTATTGATTAATCGTTCAAGAGATTCACTAGAAGAAAAGAATATATTTCTTTTTTATTCTTCTTCTTGTGTCTTACGTTGTATATGATGGTATTTGATTGTTATTAAATATTAAACATAAACCTAATGCAAATGAACATAAAGATTGAATTAAAATTTCACGATCATCTGCAACTAATTGAGCACATATTTGTGAAATAAGCTGGAAAACAAAATACAAAAATTTATTATTATTGATAAAAAAAAATAATCAATATCTACATATGATATACTATTTTGAATTGAAACAAATGTTTGTACGGCTAATGAACAATTTGACAGCCATGTACATATAAAAATAAGTACCGCAATACGAGTATGAAATGAAGATGATGGCTATTGATAGAAAAATAAATATAAATCGAAAAAAAAGAGAATTATTTACATTTTGTAATAAGTCGATCGAGATTTCCATTAATGTTTTAGCTCCTGTTTGTGCTTGATCAACTGCTAATACAACTTTCAATATTGCTTCTTTAAATTGTTGACTATCAGCAATTAAATGTGCAAGTGCAATGCCAGAAGACCATGATGCAACAATATCTTTACTTAAATAACCAATTATTAATAAATGACCTAAGGTATATTGATTTGCAGCTAAAAAAATGATTTTGCTTTCATAATTATATTGTTTTCTTTTTATATAATGAACTAACCATTTTCAGTTTGAGGTAATAGTGTTTGAACAATCATAGATTTTCCAAAATCATTTTTATATAAATAACATTGAAGACAATACAGAATTGATATTCGAAGTGGAAATGATTGTTTTTCACCAGCAACCATTGTGTATAAAAGATTAAATAATACAGGCCTAGAAAAATAAAAACTTTTCTTTTATCGATCTCACCAAAATTGTCTTATCTGATATTTTACTTACTGTTGAACTTCACCAGTTGTATTCATAACAGAACCAAGAAATTGTTGATTTTCTGTATTACCACGAACAACATCACCAATCGTATTAATAGTCTATAAATCTTGTAATACGTATTCGTTTTAATAAAGAAATTCAATTTACTTCAGCCAAAACATCAGCAGGAATTGTTGTAAGTGTAAGCATAACACATAAACGATGTAATAAACCTTTTTTTTTAAACAAGCAGAATCATAAAACTAAGACAATTATTTTTCTTAATTTTACAAATCTTACCACATTGACTAACTGTACGTTGACATGCAAGAATATTTTGATGAGAATTTGTTGGTGAAACAAGTGTTCGAATTGTCTTTATAAAAATAATGAGAAAAACATGTCATGATCATTATTAGTATAATAATTGATTTTTTTTTTGCTTAATCTATTACTTGTAATAGAAGATGAACATTTGTTACTTTTTGTGCTGACCAACGTCGTTCACCAATTGAATTAAGTTCGAAAAAAGCAACTAAACGTCGAATATATGAACCTTCACGAAAATAACTTTGATTTGATGCATTATTTTGTAATAAATTTAATAAAACAGATAAACAATCTTCGACAGTAACAACTATTTATAAGAGAATAATCGTTTTGCTTTTCTTCCAAAACAAAAAAAAGATTCTATTGAATTTACCTCCATCACTACCACCTTCACTAACAAGTATTTCAAATAAACGTTCGAAACCATTTTCAAATGCCACTATTTTTTGTATATTTGTATTTGAACGTGTTAACATTTGTAAAAGAAGTAATGCCTAAAAACACAATAACGTAAAATCTTACGAGAAAACCTCCTCCGTCGTCTCCTTGCGATTTGACTGACTTTTTTTTTGCCTATAGACACTATATACTCGGAAACCGGAGGTCTCTAGTCACAATTTGATAGCTTAGTCAAATCTCAATAACAACCGAAATCATTTGTGAGATTTCTATTCGAACACTATGTAGTATCTATAGATGAAATATCAATGAAATAGCAAGAGGGCAACTGAGAAGATTCTTTTAGTTGTTTTTTTTTAAATACATTAAACTTACATCGTTTCGAATAACTTCACGTTCATCTTGTAAAAGATCAACTAATTTCGAAACACCCATAGGTCCACTTTCTAAAATAATATCTTGTAATTCTTTCGTACAATTTGTAAGAAGTGAACTAAGAAATCGAATAGCAGTACGACGAACATTAAAATCAGTTTCCTACAAATATCTTTTCAATATAAAATAACTTTTAATTACAATACAAACTTCAATAAGTTCAAGAGCTGCATGAACATATTCCTTATTCTTGATATATAATTCTAAAATAATACATATTTTCTATATCATTTTTTTTATTACCTAAAAAAAAATCTTTGTACCTGTAAATTGTACGGTAATATCTTGTGGTAAATTTGCTTGTTCTATAAAATAAATAAACTCATGAAAACAATTCGTGAAAAACAAAACAACAATATACCATCATCATTGCCTGTTTCGTATGTTACAATATTAGCTAAAGTTTCAAGTGCCAATTGAATAAGATCCAAATCAGTTCGATCACCTTGTAAAATATTTGCTAATAATGTCATACTTTGAGTACCAACTTCAAGTTTACATTTCTATTTATTTCAAACAAATAAATAATAAAAAAACATCTATATATTTAAAACTTGAATAAATTTGTTTTCTTACTTTTGAAAGAGCTTTAAGACCACGTACAGCATCTCGTCGATCTTCGTTACGTGTTGCTAATTGTAAACGATCACAAAGACGTTCGATCTGTAAATAAATGCAAAGATAAACATCTTTTTGTTTTTGTATTTTACTGTTTCTTGAGCGATTGTGCTATTATTTGTTGGTGTCGAAGATGTTGAAGATGAGAATAGAGAACCACCACGCCAGAAAGCCATTTTTTTCTGTTAAAAAGAAATAAAATAGAGTTTGTAGTTTTCTTTTTTCAAACTAGAAATTCAAGGTTTCTATTTATATTCGATTAATTTGATGTATTCATTCATATATTCATTTATGTATTGTAGTCAATTTATGGATTCTTTATTTAACTTTTAGAAATCGTCCTAAATAGAGGTCACTAATAAACAGCTATCCATGTTCATTGAGATCGTTTTATTGATAAAATATAAAATTAGTCAATACACATTGTAGTTGATGATGTTCTGAGTTATTTGTATTTATGTGAAGAACAACATATATGAAACAGATCACTGTATTATTCTTTTCTTAATCTCTAAAGAGAAGAAAAACCAATCAACAGAAATCAAATCATCATCATATCTGTCACCCCCAGTCTTTTTTGCGATCAATACAAATCAATAGGATTAGTTCGATGTCAAAATTAGTTATCTATTTGATTGTTACATTCACATAAATAATGCAAGATTCATTGACATCTACACAAAAATTCTCACGTGATTCAAACCGAGTGAAAATCGTCGGTAGTTTGATACGTAAACTGTCGTTTATCTTCTGACTGCCGTTCTTCTACAGAGTATTGATTGCTGTTCTTCAACCAGTAATCTTATGTCGGTATATCGGTGGTAGTTCGAACAAACATGCAGCATAGGTAGTTTCAATATGAATCTTACATACTTGCCATATCCTTGCCGGTCAAGTTAAAACACTTTTATGGATTAAGGTTTTATGAATAATCTTCGCAACTATCTGAACAAACAACTTTTTTCAGAAGTAATCAAATCTTACGTATCTTAGAAAAGCACTTTTGAGACCTACACTGAATTGAGAATCTAGGTATAAGCCTTCTCTTCACCCACACTCAAAATTACCATCATTATCAGCCTTTACAAAAAACTATAAAGCAACAAGCAAATAAAAAAAAATGAATTTATTATTCTTCTGTTTTTATTATGTTGTTGAATAGTATAAAAAATATACAGATAATAGTAAGTATCATCATTTATTGTGATGTATCTTGTACGAAGAGAATCTAATAATATCAGCTATTGCTTCGATTGACGTGTAATCTATTTATACTTCACCTTCATTTTAAGTAATAATAGGATCATTCTAGACAGTTGTGTTTTTTTTAATCGATGGATATATATATATAGTCTTTCAGATGAGTGTAGAGAATTTTCTAATCAATCGTCAATGCTAGATAAACCCTAAGTTTTCAAGAAAACCGTGCCTAAAAATTTCGATGATCAGAAAAACGCAACAGTAAAAATTGGAAACATTCTTTTCCTCATCCGAAGTGTTAAGAAGTTCGCTTTCAAATGAAAGCAATTCATGCTATGTAGCTTGGTCCTTGGAAATGCCCTGAACAATAAGGTATGGAGATGTGAAATCTTTTTCATTTATGTACTTTCATGAGCCGAACATCTATGCAAAGTTTCATCAATATCTCATGGGTTCTGCTCAGGTTAGATTTTCAAAGAAGTGAAAGGAGGCTGACGGAGTTAGTATCAGCATCATTGATTTTTGAAATTATAAAGTACCATTTTTTTGTCTATGACCCTTTTCTTTGTTGCGGTACATAGTCATTTCTCTATGATTACAAATGGTAGTTATCCAGACTGATAGTTACAGCTATTCATATTTATTAGTGTGACTTTATTCGAAATTCTACTGTTTGTTAATCAACCATAACAGCGTTGTTTTTGATAGAAGAAGTACAATCATAACTTTTGCTAATTATTCTATTTGTATTAGAATGGAAAAAATAATTTTCCTAGTTTTTCTCTACGATTAAAACAATTACATCAATATGAGTTTTTATTGTTTTATTTCTAGACTACGAATGATTCATATTATCTATCAATGACACATTTTTTTTGTATGCTAATGAATAACAAGATACAATCAATCATCCAATAAATACAAAAGAAAAACAATACACGTATATTCACAATGTCGTTGTGATTCTAGAAGTTTCTTGTTTTTTTTTTCTTCATATAATATGATATTTGCACTAAGAGAAGTTTTGAAAATAATAAAAAAGAGTGAGAAAGCAAAAGAGATTTTTTTTATTATTGTATATATTTATACAATACTTGCGAAAGTTCTTCAACCAAATGTTTTTGTTCATTTGTTAATCGTGTTGATAATAATCGTTGTTTTATTTGATTGAATTGATTCATATCATTAGCTTTCATCATCTTTTGTAGATGAGATTCAAGAAGTTTAAATCGTCCAGTATTTTTATCAATGATTTCGCTTTTCGAAGCTAATTCATAATCTTTTATAGCATATTTAACATTACGAAAAAATTCATATCTCATATAATCTGATGGTAAATTTTGATCAACAAATTCGACAAGTTTTTCATAATATTGATTTTTTAATTCCATTAATTGTTGAGCATATTCATTTCGTTGTGTTTGAGATAAATCAGTCCATGATTGTTGTGAACCTGTTTCTTCTTTTTCGTGATTATATAAAAGATAACTATTTATTGGTGGACGTTGTGGTAAACCAATAGAAGAAAAAAATAAAATTATATCTTCATTTTTACATAATAATAAATGTAATGTTGGTATTTGATTTTCAATTATATTTGAATTTGATTCAAGAAATTCATTCCATTTTTTAATTGATTTTGAAATATATTTTAATTTTTCATTTTCATCTAATTGATTAAATAATGATCGCATATAGGCATTTTTTGTCATTGCTTTTGTAAATGTTGGTTTATCTTTATCTGAAATATTTGTTTCATAGTAAAGAGTACTCGGCATACATTTATGTAATGCATGAAGTTGAACTTTAGTTAATTTTGTATGACTATCATTTGTTGTTATTGATGGTTGTAAACTGTCAGGTAAAGATGTTAAAGATTTACGACGTTGACGAATGGATCTGGAAGTAATTGTATCGTCATGATCGTTAACATAGGAAGTATCAATCAATTGACGTTTATTTGGCGATTGTTCAACAAATAATAAATAATCCGGTCGAAGACGTTCGGGTAAATCATTAGCAAAATTCCTTACTTGAGCTAAATATTCAACTTTAGCCTATAAAAAAAAGTAATTTGAAAAATGAAACATTAAGATCGAATTAATGAAGAAACAATCGCTACTATAATCCGTCGATTGAACTTATATTGAACCTACAATGAGGTGTCGATCAGATTAGAAAAATTCTAAGAGGGCTCGTACTAGAGATGTATGGAACTAAGAGTTTCGGTCTCAGTCTAGAGAAAACTGTTCCAGAATTTATTTGTATGACATCTAACATAATTCTTCAATGCTTGTTTTATTCATTTATTTAACCGACGTCTAGTACTTCTTTGGGTCATCTCTGTTGAATTATCTTCTGATTCATATGATTTAAAAGATAACTTGCTTAAAACCATAGAATATTTCACTGCAAACTTGAGTTCCGACCCAGCAAAATTTTTTTCGTAGCCATGGTAAAATTTAATTTTTTGGTCTCATAACCGGGACTGATCCCGCACATATCAAGTTTGTATTCATGGACCTCTGGAGTTGGTTTGTGTCCGTTTTACTGAATTTTCAATCCATTTTTAGGTATTTCGAAAAAAATCAAATAATGGAACTTCGATTTGCAATTTTACCCTTTCAGCTAAGAAAAATACTCTTTCGTCAAGATATTGAACCTTTTACAAATAGTTGCTTCTCACAAAAATCCAGTGTAGTTGGAAATTTAATAGCTCGACAAAGGAACATACTTTTCGACTGAAACTTTCAAGATATTTCAAGAATCAGTAGACCTATCCATCAGTTACATTTTAGGTCAATCTCTCATAATTTGATTTTATAGTAAATACCTAACAGTGAACTCGATATTAATTCAAACAGTGAGTTACAGTTCGAGTAGTTCTCTCGTAAGAAACTAACTGATCAACAGAAATGAACTATACAATTTGATACTTTTCTTTTTGTTTTTTTTCCTAATTTATTAAGATCATAATTAAAGAGACTTATTCATCAATCTTAATCTTTTATTGTGAGAGATCGACTCAATCTAAGAAAATTTCCATCTCTACTTGCATATTGTTTACCTGTAAGAAATAGGAATATACCCATACGAGTTTTTTTATCGGAATTGATCCAAATTGGTTCCTGTAGAAATACTAATTTTGCACTTATCTATCTGAATTAATTATTTGATTCGAAGTTTTTCAAGACCAATTCCAACTGATTTCAAGCGAAAAGTCGAAATGACAATTGGTGTATTCCTAGTGAAGATGTCATATTTCTTGTTAAAGTTTCTGTTGAACATGTCAATGCAGCATGGTACTAACCTTTCAATCTCTATCAGAATTGATAAGAAGTCTATCACTAATTAATTTATATTGCTCAATCATAAAAATCCACCGTATCTCTCAGGTATATCCGATTTGTGACCATTAGACGTAAGGACGTCTTACACTTTTCTACATCTAAACGAGGTACGGAAACTATTTGTGAATGTATCGAATTTGTTATTTTTTATCTTCTTTCGTTTATTTAAAGATACACTTTTACTTACATCTATTCTCATCTTTTTATAATTTTGTTTTTCATTTATACTCAATGATTTCCATGCTGGTTCACTATCATCATCATCATTTTCTTGTTTCGCAACTTGAGTATAATAAGGTACTGCTGTTCTAAAATAAATAGAAATGATTAATTTACACTTTACAATATTTTGTTGTTTTGCACTTTTTTTTACCCTGGTGGTTTTGTTGGAGCACTAATTGATTGAAAATATTTCTTTTGTTCACTTTTTATTAATAAATAATCGAATAATTTACATTCTGTTTGTATATTCTCATCGATATCGTTTTCATCCTATATATTATATTAAATATATTAAAAAAACAATAAATTTTATATATAATTTACAAGTAATTGAATATATTTATCGACTGATCTTTGCAAATATCTTGCTTGTTTATCTTGTGGTAGTTGACAAAATTTAACTCGTAAAGTAAATGGATTATCCTATGAACAAAACAACATGATTTCATTAAAAAAAAAGCATTATTTTATATAGAGGCGGATCCAGGAAATTTTGAAAAAAGTACCAGATATGAAGAAGTCATTGACAATCTTCATGATTGTGATCTACGGAAATGTAAATAGCTATGGAACAAATCATGGATATCATAGCTAGTCTATTCAAATGACTTTCACCTATTATGTTTTGAAAATATGATTTTGTTAGTTGTTCTACCGAAAAATTCGATCATTTATGAATGCTATCACGAATAACATTACAAAAATTATCAGTATGCTCTTCATCGAAAGTCATATCGCCGATATTCTGCTGTGATATCTGCAGTATTAGAAATATATATGATAAATATCCAGAAAGAGTGAAGGTAAGCAATGATTGCTGAAACGAAAGTTACGAACACAGATGATCAAAAGACATATAGTCTCGCTTTTGATGGATGAAGTACACAGCCGCATAAATTTGAAAATGAAATCGGCCATTCATGAAGAAGATACTGTTGCATCAAATATGATCCAAAATATGAATTACGTAGATCTTTTTACTGAATCCTATGCCTATTAATCATCGATAAAAAGAACGCATATGAACTATTAACATGATCGTTGGTAATTTCAACTTTTAACTCTACAAACGTTCACTAGCTGTGTGACAGAAATAGAAATCATATTAAACAAGAGAAAGAATATTTGATACAAGTAATAACACTGCATAGACATTATATATGTATAGTTTGTTGTCCTTCTCGGGTATCATTCGTTTCAAAATACAAGCACTGTAAACTTAAAAATAGTGAAAAAATACATAGATAATTAGGTTATAGTATGTGTAAAATTCATAGAGAAAGGTCACCCCCGTTGCTTCCTCTGGATCCACCACTAATTTTATAATGATTTCAATACATACTACATTTCCTTTTCTTTTTTGTTTATTAATAAATAAACGTAAAGGACGATACGATTTAATTCTAAAATATCAAATATTATAACATATATTTTTTTTGTTAAATAAAATAAATCGACTTACTCTTTCAAAATTTCTTCGGAAATTAATTTAGTAGAAGGTTTTGGTCGATTTCCTCTCGGCATTATTTCTGAAATTAAACAAAAAAAATTTCAAATCAAATTATTATCTGTATTTCTCTTGTTCAAATATTTATTTATTAAGTTTTTTATTCTTCAAATAAATTATACAACAAAAAAAAAATTCATTTATAAATAACAATAAAAAGAAAAAAAAACAATAAATATTTGAACAAAGCCAAACATTGGACTATATTGAAATTGATCTGATGATAAAAGAAAAGAAGGTACTTTTTTTTTCATTTTAAGATACTAAAATATAATAAACAAAAATCATTTTATGTAAATATATAACAATTAGTAACATTCTTATCAGACATGCAAAAATGCTTGAGTAAATATATGCAAACATAGCAAGATAAAAGTAAACTTACATCAAAGAGTATTCTTTTTTATTGAATAATTCTTCGAAAGTTTTTTTTTTTATTATTATTATTATTTTTTTGGTTCATTCTCGAGGACAAAATCGAGTACAAATCAGATATAAAATATCCCATAATAACACAAACAATATAATAGATTAAACGCAACAAAAACAAAACACATGATATTCACATATTGAATATGCAATTTATAAATTATCGATCGTTTTCTTTCTTGATTAATTTAGCAATAATCTTTAAAAGAAAATAAATCAAATAACGATGAAACAGCACACCGGCAAGAATATAAGAAAAATAAATAGAAATAGCTGGAATAATGAATGACTATAAAAATCATAATTTATGTTGCTTGAATATATAAATATGAACATAATCATTTCTAGTCTAACGTATATACACAAAATGAGATCATTTGACAAATAGATAATATATTTCAATGTGATGGCTTGTTATGGTGAGATAATAATAATGGATCAGTTTCTTTCGTTGCATTGATTGACATTTTTCTATCTGTTAGTTCAACCATCGGCACAAATTTACTTGGAATAGATGTTTCTGAGGAATCTTTTTCATCTTTTAATAAATGTTCATCATTTGAATTGAGCATTTGAGATGTTTCATAGTCAGTTGTTGTTGTTGGGGAAACTCTCTAAAGTAGTCCAAAATCTTCATACACAATCCATAAATATATTAATATCAAAATAAGAAAGAAGAAGAAAACATATAGCCTTATTTGCAAGAAAAAAAAGACTAATATAAAATATTTTTCATGAATTACATAGGCCAAATAATTAAAAACATCTATAAATTTAGTCAATTCACTAGTTTTTTTTTTATGCCAGTGAATTCTTATCTTAGATGAGATATGAATTCAAAAATTAGAGTCAATTGCAAATAGAAATATACTTGAATAAACAACTTTCGTACATTTCCAAAAATCATCTTCAATTGTTGATACAACTAACAGTAATAATAACGTTAAAAAGAAACATGCAAAATATTAGACAAGCAAAATAGAGTGTACAGTGTAGATTGAAGAAGATCGATAAGATTTAATTACAAGTGTTGTTTGTCATCATCAAATCTTTACAATTGCAGATAGATATAGCCATGCACTATTTTGAATATCTACATTACTCGTATGATAGACACGTACAGTGATTCAGAAAATTGATCTTTGCAAATTTTGTTTTCGCTTGTTCTGTTATGGTAACTCGCATAGAGAAAACTGTTTTCAATAAGAGTCTCTAGAAAACTCGAAAATCTATTGTTGTGTAACCAAAAGAAACTTTTATTTCGAGTTCTATGTGCTGAAAAATCAAGCGTTGGATTTTGTATATATCCTTGTTGAAAATACGTTTCTCTATTCAAGACTAACATCACTTGAAAGCATATGTTCAGTGAATGTGAAAAAGATTTCTATTTTCTATCATTATAAATCAAAATTAATCTATGTTATTTTATCAATAATCTCCAATAGATATTTAAAAAACAAAAAACAAAAGTAGGTTAGAGAGTTGACACATGCGTAGTATTTCAAGATAATCTACTTAAAAAATACTATTTATATCAAGTAGATAGAATAGAACAAGATGAAGTGACAGTGCAATAATCTCTACATAATATTTGTTCTATTGTTGTCGAACATATTTGCAGATATCAATAATAGTAAGAAGACTATATATAAATTTAGTTTAAAAGAGTGCAAATTCTAGCTCATTCTATATGCATGTTGTTTTATTTTTTTATATTTAATTTTACTCACTACTTTATTCAATATCTGTCCTGTTTCAATGATGAGTTCGTTGTTATATCATTTAATAATATTGGATGTACTCTTTTTTTTAACTAGACAAGATATATATTGAATAATAAAGTGAAAAATACACATCGATAAAGTGTTGAGAGAGAAAAACCAAGTTAATTAGACAAAAATTTTTTTTTTAAATTTTACTTACATTAATAGCAGTTCCTGCTCTTCGACGTAAAGCTGATTTTGATTGCATTCGTCCCGATGTAATCAATGGACCCCAACCTTCTTGTTGTGAAAAAGCATAACCTGATCGTACAGCTCGTTTAGTTTCACGAAGTCTTTGTTTAATATGTGCAACAAATGCAGCTTTTTCGTCGATACGATATTTTCTATTTAATCTTGCACGATCAGTTTTATTTGGCATAAAACGCATACGAAGAAATCTAGAAACAAATTAATTAAAAACAATCTTTACGCGAATAAAAAAAAAGAAGTTATTTACTCTCGACAAAATATAGGTAAAAGTAATATTGCACATGTTAATAATAATGTAAACCAAAAATTTCCAGTTGTTAAAACAGATTGTGCTACACCAACATAATGATAATTTTTTTTAAATATTTTAATTATAAATGTTGAATATAATGCAAAATGAAATAGAAAATGTACAATAATTGTACCCCATACAACAAAATGATATAAACCTGTCCAATACCATATTTCAAGTGCATTTTGTAAATTAACAACAATAACCATTATTGTTGCAACTAAAAAAGCAAATGATTGTAAATCAGCTTGTGTTATACCATTTGGACGAGTACTATTTGATACAGATAAATATGGAACAAAGAATATTATACATGATGTTAATATTCCATGTATAACACTTTCAGCAAAGATTTTTTTATTAAAAAATTCCTTATTTTGACCTGGAGTATATCTAAAGAATGACAAACTTATTAATGGAAGATATATAGGAAAAGATAACGTACAAATGTGGTTTACTCATTGATTGATCAGCATTGACATCCTACAAACAAAAAAAGAAAAATATGATTATTCTTTCGATTGCATTGATAACATAGTAAACTTTATCGAAGAGTATGCCCTCCCCCCCTCCCCCCCAACCGCTTTTTTGGTTCTCGAAAAGGGAACAACCGATCAGCATGACATTTTTTTTCGGGAAACTCTAAGTTCAAAGTTAGAGGAGGTGGTAAGCAGACGTGATTTGTTCCTATAGAAAACCAGCGTTTTGCGAAAACTTTGTTTGAAATTTTTCCTTCGAACATATATCTTTTTATTTTAGGTGTTCTGTCTGTAGTAAGTATTTCATGCAAATCGGTTGTGTATCCTTAATTCTTACTGACAAGTAAATTCGAAACAAATAATTTTTTCAGATTACACTGAACTTAAAATCATATAAAGTTCAACTGATAGAAAAAATCTGATTAGGATCTTCGCTATCCTTCAAACAAGAACAGTAATTATTTTTACAGTTTATCTATAGATGAGTTTTAACAAAAGAAAAACTTCATGATCATCGTATACTTATGATTGTTGACATACCTGATCGAAAACACCTAATGCTAAAACAGGCAATGATGAGAAGAAAACATTATACGTTGCAACAAAGAATGGATCATATAAAGTCTATTTACAAAAGAAAGCAAAAATTTCAAATTCATTTTTCATATTATATTAATAATTTACTTGAGCTGAAAATCCTGAAAAAAATCCAAACCAAAAATGACAAAGTGTAAATGCAAAATTTTTATAGAAAAAATAACGTAAAAATTTTGATAATCGTAAATATGACCAACGTCCATGAACAAGTAAAAGTCTTTCAAGAAAACAAAATTGTCCAAAACTAAAATCACTTGCTAACACAGCTTGTCGACCTTCTTGTCCACTAATACCAACACCAATATGTGCTTCTACAATGAAAAAAAAACTTACTTAAAAACGAAACAATTTTTTTCAATGTTTTTACTCTGTATCATAGATACATCATTAGCACCATCACCAATAGCTAATGTAATTTTTTTTTCATTTTGCATTATTAATTCAACAACTTGAGCTTTTTGTAATGGAGTTACACGACAACACACAACAGCTTTACACATAGTACCAAGTTCAAGAAATCTCATTTTTAATTTATCTGATAATGCATGTACTAATGCTTGACCTGTTATTAATAAACCAAAACCTTCAAATTGTTCACGATCTTGTGGGCTAGAATCATTTGCTGCTGTTGTTGTTGATGGCATATGTCCATTTATCTCTTTTGTTTGTCCTCTATTATTATTATTATTATTATTATTATTATTATAACCTTTTCTATGTTGATCAAATTTCATTATATCGATACCCCAATCGTTCCAATCAAGTCGTTTTCTTTTATCAGTAATTTTAACATCAAATAATTGTTCAATTTTATTAATCATTTCATTACGAACTTCATCTAATTTTTTTTCAACTTCTTTTTCGTCATCTTCTTCAATAATATTTATTTCCATATCATTTGTTAATAAACGACATGATAAACCAATGTTATAGGCAGTTGCTTAATTTTGAAAGAAAACAAAAATTTTCTTCTTGCTTATAAAGTTTTTTCTTACTTACCAACTTTATCACCTGTTAATACCCAAATTTTAATACCAGCACGTGATAATTGTTCAATACATTGTGCTACACCATCTTGTAATTTATCTTCAATACCTGTAGCGCCAAGTAATTTAAGATTTTTTTCTATTTCTTCATAGGCATCATTTACTTTTTCTTCACGATTTTCCATACTTGTACTAAAATTTAAGAAAAAGAAATTTTTGAATTTTAAGTTTGCCGTAAAGGAAATTCTATGAGAAATTCCAAGAAAACAGATTAATATTTTCTACGTTAAGTTCAGTAATGAAGTCATATTTATGAAAATTTGTTGAAATTAATATTCAAAAGTTTCCTTTCATATCTCCATGGTTATTTTTATTCGACGAATTTTTTGTAGAGTAATTAAATTCGATAAGACAAAGAAAGACAATTAAAGAAAATTTTCGGTCCATTTAACAATTCATTTGTAAAACTTCTTTATACGGAGCAGTGTATGCTTATTTTTAGTCCCATGAGTATAACAACAACCTTCATTATGTGAACCACGTACGTTCTGGCATTCACGTATATAGCAAGAAAAAAAAATGATGCATTATATATTGCGCTATGATAAACAATCATGGAGCATATAAAAGAAGGAAATGGACTAACCGTGCGTGTTTAGAAGAAAAAAACGCATTACTAGACAGCAACAACACTGTTTGGCGAAGGTTGTTTCCGTGTGTACGTGAATAGATGCGGATGTGGAAGAAGAGAAGATTCATATCCAGCCCACACCATATTCAAAACACACTTCATAGTTATTTTAGAAAATATATGATTATTTGAACTAATAAATTATTGAAATGAACAAAACAGATCACCTTCTACAGTTGAACAGCGATCGCAAGTGAATACTTATCATTTGAAATAAACAACTAAAAACTTGACAGATAAGAGATGCTCGACAACTGAACAGAGCCTACCGAGATCGTAGGGAAGTAAGACGAGAAATGACGCATATCATGAATACTTTTTTTGTAAGCCTTATCAAATAAAAAGTTGTAAAAAAGTGTTTATCGTCCATTAATCGACATAAAAAAAGAAGATATCAATCACCTCCTCCAGAAATAGAAGGCCCATTTGAAGACATGATGCGCCGAACGTAATGAAAGATCTCTCTTAGTTAATTAGTATCTTAGAATCTGACGTCAGCCTTGTTTCTGAATTTTTTTAAGCCCTAAAAATATTCTCAAAATTATTGTAGTTATCTAAAAAAACACTTCGAATTAAAAATTATGAAAATAAATTCGACACAAGTGCAAACTTTGTACAATTAGATATAATAAATACTTCGGGGGAGGGGAGGGGGCGGTCTTCTATTTTCGGGTGTTTACACTTGTTTACTGAAAATTATTATTGTGTAGAGGGAAAAAAGTACAAGTTTTCAAATAGTTTCTAATCTTTTCTTTCTTTCAATGGTCATTAGCCTATTTCGCATAAACAGTAATGTGTCTAATTGTTCTATCTATACCCTTCGCATAAGGACAAGACTAATACTGTATTAGTGTGATTATTTTTTCAGCATATCATCTCAAACCGTCATCGATAGTAAAATATTATTAATAATAAAAAGTTCATCATAGATTGTGTTTTATGCAAAATACATTACAAGCGTAAAATATAGTAAAACCTCCCATAGTAAACACTAGCACATAGTTCTATGGTGAATACTTTTGCAAAGTTCAAAGCGTATTCCCTATACTGTATTTGTTTTATTTGTATAATTTTTTTTTGATCTTTCGATAAATTACCTTGCTTTATTTAATACTGCAGCCCATTTATTGTATTCTCCTTCATCTAAATCTTTCCATGCTAAACAAAGTGTACGTAAACCATCGGTAGCAAATTTCTATAAAACAACGAAATAAATATAAATCAAACTAAAAGAAGAAAAAAAAAAAACTTTGATTTACATTTAAATGCTCATCTGTTTGAGCCATCATATCTGTTTCTGATGAATCTAAACGTTCTTTTATTTTTGAATCAGCTCCTTTACAATATAAAATAATTTTTCCATCTTTTTTCACAATAACCTATGAATTAAAAAAAAAACTTCACAAAATCTTTAAAACATTTGAAATATTTCAATACGAACCGACATTCGTTTTCGATCATTATTAAAATCAAGTATATTAAGTAAATCATATGTTTCTTCTTGACCTTGTACACGAATTGTAATACTATTCTGAGTACGACTCTATTAAATATTCATATTAATTATCTTAATTGATTTTAAGAAAGAAAAAAGTTCAAAAATTTTACATCAAATACAAAACCAAATGATCTTGCAGCTGATACGAGTGCATTTTCATCAGGTGATTGTGCTTGATAAATTATTTTTCCATCTTTTTCTTCAGGCATAACAGTATGACATAAAGATAGAAGTGTAAAAAACTGACGTTCATCTTCATCATTATTTTTAATAGAATCGATTAATTTTTGATCATACCATTGAAATTCTTCATCTTTTTCTTCGAATTCAATTGGTTTTAATTTCTAAAAATGATTTATTTAGTTCATTACAAGAAACAAAAAATTTTTCGTATTACTTCAGGATCTTGAATTTCATTTTCAGCGTTATCAGTCACATAACCATAGAGTTTTCCTCGTATTGAACATTTATTAAATGTCATTATATTCTAGAATATTAAGAAATTTTTTTTATTAAATTATGGTTCTAATAACTTCTTTGTATATTATAAGAAAAATTTGCTTCTATTCGATATTTCTAATGTAAAACTTCTACTGTGAATTGAATGAATTCGAGTGTTAACTAATTATTTAGATAAACTTGATTGTATTCGTTTGAGATTTTTATCTTAAAAGTTTTGTTTTTTTATTGTTAAAGGAACTCAGAAAAATCATTGTACAAGAGTATATTAGATTTTGAGTATAAATCTATTTGTTTGATAAATATTCCTCTTACACTGTATTTAAATTTAACACGAGCTATTTCAATGTTTTAATTATAATTCTCTGAAAATTCAAACATTACTAATGGATTTTGCGAAAATCACATCTATTTTCGAAGAAAACAGCGAGTGTGAGTTTAACTTGAGGTTCTTGCTGCTCTTCCTCCGTAAGTCCTAGCAACAACGAGGAGGGAAAAATCGACGAGAGAACATTTTCAACGAAATAATCGCTTTTGAATTCGGACTCAATGCATAAGGTAGACTTCAGTGAGACATGAAAAACTTCAAACGCACAGACAGATCTATTCGTCAGTAAAATGTCCTAAAAGTTTCAGCTCAAAAGAATATTTCCTTACTGAGATATTAGAATCTCCAAAATCACTCATATTTCACGAAAGATGCTAGAGTTTTCTATTTTATGGGACTTTAATATGTTGAAAAGGAAATATTCTTTTAAGCTAAACTTTTCAGAGCATTTTGCGGACAAATAGATCTCTCTATGGACAAAACATTAGGTCGAAATATCATCATTAGATTTGTGAGTATATACCATGACAGAAGCCCTAAGAGGACTATCCTAATGAGGTTTTTCATATCTCATTGGACTCTATCTTCCTTCGTGAGTACGTCTTCATAGCAATGAAAAAAGACGTTGAACAGCATTAACAACAAGACTTAGACTGTTCGAGAATATTTCAAAGCCTGCCTCGAAATTGGAATGGCTGGAATGTGTTTATGAGTATTCGAAATAGTATACTTCGTGATTTTGATGCAGATAAGAATTTATATCCAAAATGTAAATGATGATGCATTAATACCATAATGTTAAATTAAGAAAAACAGAATCCGAAAATACAAAGCAACAAGGCAAACAAAAAATAGAACACCAGTAAAAAAAAACTGAAGACAGATTATTTTCCTGATAATCAATTATCCAGTATAATGAGGCTAAAGAACACATGTAAGTTCCATATTTTAGCCACAATATGTCTGTACTAAAAAGTTCTCCAACTTGATCTTTTAACAATGGAATATAAAGACGAACTCGTAATACTTAATCTTATAGTTAACAAACTATTCTATTATCTCAATGAAAGTAGAACATGACATCTACAAAAAATCTCCTTCGCCAATATATATATATATATATGTAATCATATTACCTGTGTTAATGTTCCTGTTTTATCTGAAAAAATATATTCAACTTGTCCTAATTCATCATTTAATGTTGTTGTACGTGCTTGTGCTGGAACATTATTTGGTTCATAAAACATTTTAATATCCCAATCAATCCATTTTGATTGTAATAAACGTATAAATTCTACACTAACATAAAGTGATATTGGTACAACAGTATTCAATATAATAATATATGATAAAAAAACTAATAAACTTTTTTCAAGTGCACCAAGTTTTTGACCTTGTGATACATATGTTTCCCATGGTAAATACATACGGTAATCATAACCAAAAAAAGATTCCCAAAACCCACAACATATTGTCATAATAGTACACATAATTAATAAGAAAAAGACAATCTAAAATTACAAAAAAAGAAAAATATTCACTTTAAAAATAAAAAGTAGTATTAAAATTTCTTACGCCAATAATAATTTGATTAAGTAAATGATCAATTTGTGTACGTTTGAATTTTGCTTTACCACTATTTTTCATTAATTTTGTATCTGGACCAGCATAACAAACAACTAAAAATTTTTTCAATAATATAAAAATCATCAAAGAAAATTTTGTTTTTACTTCCAAATGCCCATTGTGTATTTTTTAAACGTGTACCACGTAATAAAACATTATCATTTTTTAAAGGTAGAGTTTTATTATTCCATATTAAATTTCCTTCAAATCTTCCAAGATTATTATTCGGTGCTTCATATTCAAGTTCAGCTTGAAAAAAAAAGATTAACAAAAAAAATTAAAACAAAAACGGTATATTTCTACCATCAAAACTTGATAATTTTTCAATATCTTCACCAATTTCACCTGTTTCTTCTAATGCTTGTCGTACTTTAAGATTTATTTCTCCATCTAATTCAGCTGTTTCAATAAAACAAAGTCCATTTGGTTCACTTGTTGATATTAGAACAATATCTGCCTTAAGAAGAAAATCACTCATTCAAGAAAAAAATATTTGCTTTTTTTTCTTTTGAAATTCTTACAGTTAAAAATTCATTGTTAGTTAATTGTACAATGTCACCAACATTAATATCTTTCCATTTTCTAGTTACTAATTCTTTTCCAACAACAGTTTTTGTTTCACGATTATTAACTTGACGATCACTACGATGTCTAGCCTATAAAACAAAAAACAAAAATAAAATGAAATAAATAAGAAATTATTGCTTTTTTTTTCTCAACGAACAATATCATCACTAGCATCTTTGATTGCAGTTAAGGCTAAGACAAATACAAGTGGTAATATAGTTGTAATCGGAGCTAATGAACTAATTTGTGGAATAAGCTAAAAAATAAAATTGGATTATGCATTATAAAAAAAAAAAAATAATTTGAAATACCGTACTTGTAGACAAAGAAGAAATAGGAAATAAGCATTAGCTAATCGTCGAAATTGTTCGAAAAGATTTTTAGGTAAAAATGTTAGTAAATTATATTTTGATGTAGATATTTCATTTCCCTGAAGAAAAAAAATTCGATATAATTTTGTTTTTCTCCGAATAAAATATCATACTTACAGCATATTCTTTAGTTGCATTTGCTGTTGGATCATTAGCTTTAATTTTTCTCGTATCCTCTGAAATATAATTTTCCTTTTTTTTTTGTAATTTAAAACATAGAATTTATTATACATACCTTCAACTTTTTTCTTTTTAAAAAATCGGAATTTCTTCATTTTATGAATAAAAAATTGTTTCTTTTTATTTTATGATCAACATATTACAAATGATACTGTGATTAGACAAATGAAAAAAGATAAAATCATCTAAAACATGGGCTCATATTTGTCAATATAATAGAAAGAAATATCACTTCTACTGTTTCACCCATACCATAGACTACATCAATCAAAGTAAAAAGAAAAAAATCTACTGGATCTAATAATAGATGAATGAATCATACTAATTCGTGATGTAATGCTACTGCATATGACATCTTTTTGAAGCATGTAGTATTTGAAAATAATACTCTAGAATAGATATACATGACTTCTGCAAAACAATTTTATCTGATCTATGTTTTGAAGAAATGCTTTTATTGTCTATCATTATGACAAGAAAAATCATTGATAGGTGGTAAACACATTTTCTTGTTGTTGCTTTTATCCCTATGGTATAGAAAAATTTAGGCTTTTTTTTTCTCCTAAACATTGGAACAAAGAGAAAAACAGAAAGTTTTGGTTTGTTTTGTTATTATGTAAAAATAAACACTGTTAGTAAAGAACACATAAAATAGCCTCAAGCATCAAAATAAATGGAAGATGATGTTTTTTAACTTAGATAATTAACCAAAATAAATAATAAGCATACTTTTACCGATGATGAAAAATGTTTTGCCTATATTTTAATTCATTTTTTTTTTACTTCAAATACATTTGTTAATGTTCTTTAATAATTGGTATGAGAAAAACACTTATAAACATAACGATAAATAATGAAACATAGTTAAGTTAATAAGATTAAAACGAGCATAGAAAGCAATAAGGTATGATTAATAAATAAAATAGTAAACTTCCTTGGACATTGAGAGTTATAAAAACAACAACAACAACAATGCAATACAATGGTTGTCTTATGGTCAGTGAACGAATGACCATGCTAACCTTGATTGACTGCGTAGTTGAGCGACATCTACGACAAATAATCGTAAGTTCGCACGTGGTCACTTTTATTTTAATGATACTATCAGTTTTGCTGGTGCAACCGGTAACCCACAGTTTACCAATGTTACAGTTACATAAACTGATAAGATAGTTGTTGATAAAGAAAATACTTTTTCATTAACATATAAGTTTTGAGAACAATAAACATATGTTGAGAAGGGTGTGAGTGTGTGTATGATTTTTGTTTTCGCTCACCCGTATCCACTCCCATGTGTACCAGTAGATAATGCTTTTTATATAGTACTTTTAATAATAATTAATTCTATTTTTCAATCTAATTCTCATTCCTAAATAGAATTTCATTATCTTTAGTTACACAGATATTTGTTTTTGAATAGCATTGAGAAAAACTTATGTACATCACTTTTTGAAATATTTCATTTAATGAGAAATGAAGCACGTTAAGATCCACGACATCAGCTGCGTCTGATTTGATCATTCATGTAATATCGCGAAGACCAATAAACATTATTTTAAAGTATTTTCTATTCTAAGTTTTCGTTGATTTTTTTTTTCGACAAAAATTGTATCGCATTTTCGATGATTATGATATTGATTTTGCTATTTATCAATTAAACGATTCAAGAAGGGACTTTGAAATTTGCTAAAAATTTAAAAAGATTTATCTCGTTTACTTAATAATGATGGCCATCACGCAATGAAAAAAATCGAAAGCTATAGGAGAACTGAAATGACATCAAGCATTAGACGAAACAAAAAGTTCAGAATATGTAGAAGCTGTTACCAATTAGTATTGGAAACTTGTTAGTCGTGTATTTACATACTTTTCCATTTGTCTGATTTCTAATTTTGAGTTTTATTTAGTCTGAACTTGAAAACCATATAGAGAAGCGATTGAACAAAAATATTTTGACGAAACACAAAAAATGAAATATAGATCCAAAAGATCATTAAATAAATCTATTTCTAATTTCAGAACTAATTGAAAAGAATCAGGAATAATATTTACATATATAAAAAGTAGCCCATATTATTATGAAATATGTTTAAATGGATTTAATTTAATTTAGTTAATAATAATATTTGTTTAAATTTAGCTTGTTTATTTTAGAACGTCAAATCTTGGCATTGGAAAATCCGCGGGTCGAAAACTTTCTAGAATTCTTTTAGGTCCACAGAAGCCTATTCTTACGAGGAAACATATGTAAGTGTGCAATCGCTTTTGAATCAGGACTATGTGTATCATGTAGATCCTAATGAGTTATGAATAGCCTGAAAATAATTCGGGCTGCTAGCTTTCTGCTGCCGAGATATTGTATTTTTACGGTATGTTTTATCATTTTGCTGTGGTCCCCCTCAGGGACACTAGGAAGACTAAGTTTCAAATTTCGATTTGAAGCTTTGCTCAAAGACAGTTCTTAACGAGAGTTGTTTATTATGAAAGTTTCAGATCTTTTGATTGCTCCTATTCTGAAAAAAATATCGAAATCTGCCAGTGTAAATGAGAGAAGTAAAACCCATTGCGTTTGCCTTAGTCGTATCTTAGGATAGAAGAAATCAAAAGATGTGACACTTTCATAATAAACTACTCTCGTTAAGAGCTGTCTTTGAGCAAAGCTTCAAATCGAAATTTGAAACTTAGTCTTCCTAGTGTCCCTGAGGGGGACCACAGCAATATGATAAAANAAGTACATTACTGCATGTGAATAGTCATTTCAGTGTAGATTTTTCGTTTGGTTTCGGTGATGTGATCGTTCACTATATAAGCGAGCTCAGAAGTGAAAATCTGTAAGGTCGAAAAACTTGAAATCTGAGTAAATTGCTTTTATCGTTAATCAAATCATTCGAAGATTGTTTCTCGTGTACATTGCACTAATAGATAAAGTTAGTAAGAAAGAAATCGATTCTTGTAAGAAATCTCAAGGACGAAAATTAATTCAATTCTATTTCTGATGATGAAGATCGTGTAACTGGATTAAAATTACAATTACATCAATAATAATAATAATAATATACAATTGAACTTGAGACAATAATTGCTTACTTTAAATATTTGATAAGAATACAAAGCGAGTGTCTACAGAAAACAATAACAGATAAAATGATTTTCAAACAACATACACTTTTTTGTCTTAAGATCTGTACGTAAGTTCCGTATGACCTTTTTTTCATAACTACAGTTAGATCAGGATTTAATGTAAATTAAGTATTGTAGTTGAAGAATAAGATCTTGTATATTAAAATATCTTGCAACATTATTCAACTGTTTTATCAATACTGAATTTAATTGTCCTCTATATATTCTTTTATTAGAATTATATCGTCAAAAAGCTCTATATTGATGTGTTTCAGAAATGTACACTGCGCCTAATGATAGTTGAAAAAATTATTCTTTTATGCCATCTTTTTTCTCATATTTGTTAGTCCATGATGTTTCTTATGAAATAGTGTTTCGTTTTTTGAACACTTACATAAGAAAAACAATCTAAAGTTGAAAATAACCCAAATAAATTTAATTAATCAAGATAAAACCGGACTTATGTATGATTATAGGGTATTCGTTCATATCGTAACTTATTTTCTAGACAAATTTGCGAAAATTTAAGTTTAGAGTAAATTTAAATATTATGTTTCTCACAATGGAAATTCGCTGTTTTCAGTTAGATCGATTTGTTATTTGCATAATTCTTAATCAATATTGATATAGATTTCATTTATAAACTTAACAAATGATTATGAAATTGAATAATAAAACAAACGGTATCTCAATAAGAATGTATTTGTCAACAGTTCAATCCGTTCTCTTAACTTTTCAGCATTTGATATACTTTCTTTTTAAATATTCCTAGCAATAGAATTTAACAGCTGATATGATTGAGGCGCAGCTACCCAGCGGACAAATAATAAAAGAAGTAGAAGCTGAACAGTCACTCAATGACCGCACTCTAGTTTTTTTCGAGCGATGTGCCCATCTAAATACGAGTCATAATTGCCCTTAGAGGACGGCCATCTCCACACACGCAATGCACATCTCTGACATGTTTGTCAATATATATATGAATGGCATCAAGGGTGTGGGTGTGGTCTTGTCAAAACCAGCGCCTACACCCACGCCCACACCCTGTCGTCCTTCAACTCTACCGCGTTATCAGAATTTAAAATCACTTAATAAACGTTGATCAACTAATTATATTGTATGACTTATTGTTATTCGCTGTATAAGACAATAACATAATTCCATATTTCATGTTACAATTTTATTTGCAGCTTGGAACATGTAGATGATATCGAAAAAGTGCCATATTTGAATTAATCTGAAACATCGAACTTAATGATTGAAATGTAGATAGTTTGAAATCTGATAATCCAAATTATGGTTCAGAAATAGTTATTACTGTTAATGATGATGGTTGAGATAATTGAATAACAGGAGGTATAGATGAAACTTTAGAATCAGAATTTGATAATTGTTTTTCAATTTTATCAAAATAATCTTTATTAATTAATATGTGATGAACAGAAGTTCTTGAAAAAAAAGGCAAGTTTAGCAAAATTTCCTTTTGATTGATCTTTCTTAGTAAATATAGGGGAAAGAGTTTTGTTAAAAAGCTTATCGGCGCAGTCCTGCTAGAGCTAAAAAGTGGACATTTCTGTATTCCGTTTTTTTTTCAATTTAATATTAGTATTGTTCTAACCATTGATTTAACTGATAAATAAGCTTGTTGTACATATTTAGTATATCTACAGTAGATTTCAGCACACTTATATATATGTATATCACGATAAAATTAGAAACACATTAATGTTGGTTTTTTCTCAAAGATATAACTTGATCATTTGACGACTATGGCAAATCAATACATGACTATTCATCATCCTTGGCATCTTAAATGCACCTGTTGTTCTTGGTTGCTATGAACAATGAGAGAAAATCACAAAAATTCGACTCAAAACTTACATTGACTATTTTTCTTTGAAAAACATAATGTGAGTTCTTTATATGTGTCCGTTATGTGATTATGGAATTGATTTCAGGTCCGAAAAGTATCAGAACAGTTTATTAGATCAATACAAAATACATACGTTTCTTACATTTAATTGAATTTCTAATTGTTCACAACGATCTTCCGTGATTAAAGATTTAATATTCGAAATTCAAAAAAAAAAAAAACATAATTTTATTTTATAGATTTTGCAAAAACAGTTTGTTGAATATTTCCTGATTTCCACTATGGGTTTCAAAATAGAAAGTGGGGATGATGACAACTTAGATAATGTGCGAACAATAGGAAATATTGCTAATTGGTTTCGGTCTAATTTTAGCTAAGTTTGTGGCATATCGATCTACGGCAGGTGAGTTTTCTCCAATCGGATTCCTAAAGGACTTTTAAGTGAGTCTCTAGAAAACTAGGGGTTCAAATAGTGAATTCAAAATTTTAAAATATATATTCCATAGAGAAAATTGTTCAATTTAGAACTACCGAAACCTAAGTCAAAAACTAGGCATAGAGAGCAGTAATTGACCATGTAGAGTCGAAAACGATCTACCACCATTATTATATACAGGTTTTCAAAACATCAGCTGTTGACGTTATATAGAGGGAAAAGCCGAAATCGAAAAATCTGGATATAATTATGATGGATTGTTGTTGAAACTGAAAACTAATACCACTAATAGATTCAACATGGCCAATTAATCATTTATAGATCTATCTTTTGACTAATCCAGAGTCAAGTGGCTGAAATCGAAGGTCTTTGACAAACTATTAGAACTCTTGAACAGTACAAGCTGCTATAGCTCAAAAGTGTACAATTTTCTCTATCGAATACATATTTAAATAATATAAATTCAATGTGCCACGAACTTGACTAAAAGCTGATTGAAGTCGTTTTTCAACATCTCTTATCGTTAGTAAGTTATCCAAGTTACAATAAGTTCTCGTCTACTTTGAAATCCGTAAAGATCGAAAACATCTCAGAAGATGGGTGATGCCTTGATTATTATGCTATTTGCCTCTCGCCGGGTAAACTTAACGCTCCCGAACACTGTATGTTTCGTACAAATCATAGTGAGAATTTCATAGTTCAATGTGTTTCAATTACAACTGTATCAAAAAGAAACGCACTTTATAGCTAAATATTGTACAATCCATTTTCATAATTGTTTTTTGTTTTAAAAAATAAAACCTTTTGACAAAGATTCGAAAATGATAAGTTATTATATATAAATGCAGTTTTACCATTAATATGTTTAGGTGGTTGTTTAATTCGAACAAGATTATAAGTTAGATCATTGATTAATGTACGAATATTTGCATTTTGTATTAATGATGTCTAAAGAAAGGAAAATAAATGAAATATGAAAATTGGAGTTTTGTTTTCTTTTTTTTTTTTTATCAAAAAACGTACGCCTTTTTGTGTAGTATTGTCTTTTTCAATAGAATTAAATGGTTGTTGATTAGTTGTTGCCATCGATGGTATACCATTCATTCTTGAAAACATAAGTACGTGAATATGGATTGATTTAGAATTATAATCAAGATAAGCATCTATGACAGATGGAGTTTTTGAGGAAATTGATAAATTTCGTAAAGTATGTGTAGATCGAATGAAGAAAGATCATCAAGTGTCACATTTTGTTTTAAATCATATATATATATATATCAGTTTGTATACTATGATGCATATATCTTGAGATAAAGTGACACATGATTGCTTTTTAGATATTCAATATTTCAAGAAGAAAAAAATTCTTTTGGATCGAAAGTTCTAATACACTATAATGGTCATGAGAACTATCTGTAGATATAAATCCAATAAAACGATTACAACTCAAGAATTACAAGGTATGAGGATGAACCTTTCTAGTTTCTTTTTTCAGTCTTATCGTAGATGAACTATCTATCCATTTAGAACGTTATTCTAAAAAAATTTGTGTTGATAACGGTGGTTCCAAGGACTTTGACCATTATCCTAATTATTCGATTGTGTACAAAATATTCACAAAAAAAGTTAAACGACGAAATTTTCACCTACTAATGTGTTGACATTTTTGATAGAAGACTATTTAATGGTAACTTAAAATAGAGGTTTTTATTCATCATTATATTTGACATATGACATTTAGAAAATAATTTTATTTAATCGAGAAAATATCTTTCCTTGTTTTACGTCGATTAACTGCTGCCACAGAGAAATTCCAAAGATTAGTTCAAACTGGGTTCTCAATCCTTCAATTATAACTCGAGATGCTGCAATAAGAAACTTGATTTTAAAATAAACAACGTTCAAAAAATGCATCAAATAGTTGTGCTATTAAAATTAATTTCTCTATCAAGGACATTGAGGATAAAATGTATATTCATCAAATAAATTTCTTAATCTATTATGAAAACAAGTATTTTATTGGCTCTTACTTGTTCTCTTGGTATTGTTGAATCTTTACATTTTTTCACTATTGATGAATCATTATTATTTGAACACTAGCAAAGACAGTAACAGGAGAAAACAGAAAAATAAAAACTTTATTTTTCTTACGTTGATCAATTCTTATTTTCTATTTATTCTTTTCTTTTTCATCTTCTCAACTTTTGAATATCAATGTTAAGAACCGACCTATATGATATAGTTAAAATCGATGATAAGACACCAAAAATAACTCTTCACAAATTACAGTTGTCATAGCTGACGAGAAAAGTTCCGCAATTGATTAATCACTTCTGAGTTGAGACCATATGCTTCATGTAGACACTAATGGAATATGAGTACACAGAAAAAAATTCGTTCCCTTTACTTATGGTCCTTCTCAGAGACATCACGAAAACTCATTTTCGAATTTTAAATTGAAACTTTCCACAGAGATTGGACTCATCGAGAATAGTTTATTGTGAAATCTTCAAATATTTTCGGTGATCCTACACTAAGATATAACTATGATAAAAGCTTGCATTTTACACAACTCATATATAATCTCTACTCCATCCGATAGCATTCTTTCTACATTGTGACAATAATCCGTTGATCGCAAGTGTATATACGACAATTTGAAAGAAAATATATAATAACGTCTTTGTAATTAAAAAAGTTCAGTTGATAATGAAAGTCCGTTGATTGGTAATAGTATAAAGGGATGTGTTCGCTGTTGACATTGTTTGAATTTCTTGTACTAAATCTAGATTTGTTATTAATGATAATGCTAATTGAAGACCACCCATGTAAAAGTATATTCATTGTTTCGACATTAGCAATTTGTTTATGATTTGTATCCTCTTTTGAAAGTAACTGTAGTTAGAATAAAACACTTTTATAAAATAATGTTTTTTTTTCTTTCTTCTTACTTGATGCTCACGTAATTTATCTAATAATCATTTATCTAACTTCAAATAATCACGTCTTGATGCTAAACAAACTAAATCAAGAATAAATGTTATCGATTCTGCTGCAAGTAATATGGATAAAGCTATTAAATCTCGTACGATATCAAGAACATGAGCTAGACGTTGTTGTTGCTGCATGATGCTCTAAAAAAAAGATTTAGGGAATCTTTATTTTTATTTTTTGTTCCTATCTTACTTGTGAATTTCAAATGTAATTGAGAAATGGATTTGTATTAGGACTATTGACAAGAGATCTAGGAATTATTAATTGTAATAATTCTTGTTTCAATGTTATCCAAAAAGTTAAGTTTTTTGAATAGGATAGATACATTCGGCAGAGCCTNTCTCGGCAGCAGAAAGCTAGCAGCCCGAATTATTTTCAGGCTATTCATAACTCATTAGGATCTACATGATACACATAGTCCTGATTCAAAAGCGATTGCACACTTACATATGTTCCCTCGTTAGAGAAAAGAGGCTTATCAGAGCAGCTTCTTTCAAGTTAAAATTTGGAGCTCACATACCATATTCCAACTTCATTATACTAATATAAAATATATTAATTGAAAAGTCTCTAACAGATGATAGATTCTTGCCGAGAATAATCACCTCTCAAACCAACAATTAGTTGTATTTACTTCTCAAGGTGTGGAACAACTGATTTCTGTTTATTTTTAATCAATTTTAAAGTAAAAAATAGCTTTAGTCGAAAAAATTTAAATTAAACAATGAAAGTAGCCAAAATCATTAATTGTTTTATTGTTTCTATCTAAGGCATCAATTATTTTATCATATAATGGAAATGTATGAAGCCTGTTTTTTGACTACAGGCCTTCGTAGACAGTTTTAAAATATAAAAAGTTATGGTTGTAGATACATATAACAAGTGTCAAGGTATTAAGAAATTACATTTCGATGTAAAACATATTAGTTTGCCAATGTTTCTGTATTTGAGTGCTATCTTGATATAATCCTAATTTTAATCGTACTCTTTTTCATCTATCATTCTTTGAAATTAAAAAAAAAATGGTAAATTATATTTGTGAAGAAAATATATTTTGTTTTGACATATGTTTCATAGAGAGACTCTAGAACCAATATTAGCCCCAATTTTGTTATATAGCATTTTATTGTTGAACTAATTAGAAAACTGACGAAACAGCGCATGATAGCGTTATTAAAGGTTCTGATCTATAATAAAAACTATCGACTTGAAATAGTAAATATGCGTAAGGATCTTCTATTCATCAAAGCGCACTAGAACACGCACACCTTTGAATTCTTAAAGTTTCTTTAATTCTGCATCGTTGTGATCGATGATTGCTCACGTTTGTTTTCCTAATGTTTGAGTCACGAAGCCCTCAAGAGTTGAAAATTCATGAAACTTGGCCACTACTGAAAGATTGTCTTTATAAAAGGGAAAGGAAACCATGTTTATCGAAATAATAGAACTACGCAAAACATTAATACGTAGAAAAAGCTGTGTTTTTTAGTAAGAATACTTTGAATGAATCCAAGGAACTAGTTGACGAGGACGTAAGAAATCGCGTCAAGCTACGAAAATACAAATATAAATTAGAGAACAATAAGCATTGGTCAACAATTCGTAAAATAGTAATAAAAATCGAATAAAATTGGCGAACAGTAACTTAATGAACAACGAACAATATAGTCACAATCTACTTTTCGGTATAATTATACCGAATCAAAATGATTAAAAATATCGTTCTCAATCTTTCGATTTCGACGGCAAGGATACTCCGCTGTATAGTTTGACATCTGCATTTTCTACTCACCAAAATGAAGACATTTATTGAAAATTTAGAAAAAATACAATCGGCAGATTCCATGGTCAGGTTCCACAAAAGTGTGAAAGTGGGTACACATCCACACCAATAATTGAGAATTCTCCGTTAATATCCAGTCTAGCGGTATCAGAGACTATCGAATTTCATTCAATCACTGTGAAAATGTTCACTACACTCCTTTGCATTCCACACTAATCTTCAGACCCTAGTGGGATCGTTGTCGATGATATGTTTGCACCACTGTTTCGTGATATGTGAGTTCGTGACATTGTGAAACTTGATTGCTCAGTCATATTCTAAACTAACAATCAATAGAAAAACAGAATTTCGACATAAGCAACTAGCTTGCTGTTGTGAATACATGAGAGCTTAATCGCTCTTATTGAAGCGCTCAGGGACATCATGGTGAATAAATAATGACATTGTTGTCTGTTATTTTTTTGAAGAGATAATTTAAACGTTAGATACATTGGTCTGTCGCATTCTCTCTTTTATGATGACCAAACCTAGATATAACCTAACTTAGAACGTCAAATACCATCTTGATATTGTTGCAAGGTTTTTGAACGTTTTTAGAAGAGCCTCTATGAGAACATCGACGATGATCCCAGTATACGCGACACTATTCACAATTTTATATTTTTGATTCTTTGTAAGCTTTCAAGATTTGTAGCTATGAAACATATTCCAAAAAGCTGGAGGATGCTTATCAACACTTTCAAATAATTTTTATATTTATGATCTGAGAAAAACTATGTATGATTGCAGATTTAATATTTCCAATCTTATCTAGACATTTTTGCTCAATACTGAATAAATGTGGAGCAAAAATATACTATTAAAGATATAAAGACAGCGTTTCGTAGTAATAAATGATATTTTTATGACTATGAATGTACAGAAAAACCAAAATATACAAGTAGTTTCAAAATCCCATAAGTATTTATAGTAAAAGTACATGGTTTTCATCAAAAATCATGTTTTGGGGAGGGTCCTACTGGTCAAAAGAAAAGAACTCTATGAATTCTAGCTTTGATGAAAATTTCAAACTTTTATCTTCTTCTATTGATGAGATATAAAGCTCTATAGTCGTCTAAACTATGTAGTTTCGCCCATATTAGCTGAGTCATGGAAAATCAGGGGCTCAACATTCTATGCTGAAAATTTTATCTTGAGTAGAACTCGTAAAGTTATATGCCAGTAAAAAATCCCTCCTCAATTGGTCGATTCCTTTTTGAGATATGGTTCCGTCAAGATTCGTCTAGGTAAAAACGCTTATTTTTTGGGACTTCTAGTAAAACACCTATAAAAGGTCGACGATTCAATATTTTTCAAAGCGATTTCCGTGGAAATTCATAAAACTCTTGCCCCTATCACATATATTAATTGAGCACGTGTTCCCTGTGAAACAGTCGTTGCTTACATTCACTAGCTGATAAAAGACTGATTGTCTTAAATCTTTTATTTTCATCATGATTTTCTTTTGCTGGATAGAATAAAGAAATATATTATTGCCAAAGAGATATTTTCTGATTGGTTGATGCTCTTCAATCATGATGGTAGTTTTATTTCGTTGTATATGTAATCTGCTCATGCATGACAGTAAGACGTTCTTTTTTACTTCGTAATTTATTTTGAGTATATCAGTTCATGAAGGTGTCTACTGTGACGCTTGTAGTAAACATAATTTCTATTCGAACGCTCCAAATGTCTATAGATATATTCATATAGCTCTTTTCTTGTTTTCTATCTAACAAGAAATCAAATAAATATATAATGATAAAATATTCGAATAATAATGAATTTACTACGATTATAATATGTGTTTGACGTGTCACGAACAAGGTGAAACATCCAGTCATCACATAAGAAAATGTCCTATGAAATATAAATTATTTTTTTTGAATGATAAGATATTTTGATAGTTCATTATTATTTCATCGAAGGTATTTTAACAGGTCATGATTTTGATTTTCACTATTACAGAGAACGATATACATATCTAATTATTCTCAATCATTAATTTGTCTATTTTGTGATGATATGAGTTTAGTATTGCTATTTTTTAATAAATGATCGTCATTAAATATATTTTATCTTCAAATACTTACTTGTCAACGATATGAATGTGAATATCTTAGTTCAGCCGAACATTCTCATCACTAACATCAATCACATCCTTCTCAGTAATCAATACTTACACATAATATTATAGCGTTTGTTGAAAGTGATTTTTTCGATTCACTTTTCTCATCAGCTCTTAACTGTTCTATCCATTTCATCTACTAATAATCATGAAACTTGGGCACACATTGTTATACAACAACAATTTCAAACTTGCTCCAAAATAAAGACTCCTACAATGACAACAAGAATAAACTTCTTTCTGATGTTGCTTATTCAATTAATGATTAATGATTTCAGTAAGATGGTTATTTATACATACGGATGATTTCTTTTGTTTTTATTTATCTGGTATTGATAGTCATAGTTTGTCTTGATTAATTGTAGATGTAACATTCCATTTTTCAGTTCTGTATTCAGTTTCTTTCTGTTCATACTGTGACTGAAAACAAAAGTGTATGTAAGTAAGTGTACATAAAATAATGGCATTTATCGATGATTTTAAGTTTCTTCTTCTATTGAACAAATGAAAACGATTGATAAAATGAACAGTTTTCGCTTTGGACTAACAACTGTCCTAAGTGTTGTTACTATCCTAGCTACTATTATCAATTGTGGTTATTCGATCAGTACTCCAAATAAAGAAGATTTCTTTACTATTAATATTACTATGAACAATTATGAGACCAAACAGGTTTAAATACACAAAAAGAAAACAACTTGATGTTTTTTTATGCGTAATTTTTTACATGGTTCTCTTTTCTAGGAAGATGAATATGGATATCTTCAATATAAATTACCAGATGAAGAATTATTAATTGGTAAGTTGATAGTTTGTTTTTAATCGAAATGATGAATAATTTTTAATTCAGTTGGATATTTACCGTTGATCAATATGAATTCAGTTCATCATATACTTTCATTTGCCTGTGTACAACCAAGCTCTGATAAACCATACTGGTTTGTTTCTATCTTTTTTTTTCTTTGATACTTGATCGATCGATTGATTTATATAGGACTGGAGGTAACGCATGCAACGGTCAGCAAATGATTATCCATGACTGGGCTCGAAATGCACCCCTATTAACACTACCCGAAGGTATGTTGATTTTATTAACATAACCAAAATGAGAGAAAATTTATATATTTATATTTAGATGTCGGTATTGCTGTTGGGAGTAATACTCCATACAAATATATTGTTGTTAGTATTCATTATCTCCCAATTTTGAAAAATGATAATTCTGGAATTCAATTAATTATGACTCGAAAATCGTAGATTAATTTTTTCAATAAAATAGAAACTTTTTGTATATCACAAAATGATATTTTATTCTAGACGTAAATATCATGCAGGTATCGTGCTAGGTGGTACGAGTGATATCTATCTGAAACCAAAAACACATAGTAAGTGAATTGAAGTTCTTAAAATGTATCTCTCAGTTTTCTTTAGCTATTCGAACTCCTTTTTCATGTCAATACAGCGGACCACCTATTTCTATCTTTGCTGTTCATGTTCATACCCATCAATGGGGTTTGTATTTTTTTTCTTCTAACATATATTTTTATTTTATTATAGGACGAGTTAATTCGTTGTATCGAGTACGTGATGGAGAAATTTCACAAATTGTCAAAAGTAATCCGCAATGGTCTCAAGCATTCTATCCACTTCCATCAGCTGTTGAAATTCGAAATAATGATTATATGGTTGGTCAATGTGTCTATGATAATGATGATGATCGAGTTATTAAAGTCGGGTAAGTTATTTCTTTTTCTAGAATATGCAGAATGTATAAAAAAAACATAATCACTTAACAAATGCATATAATACAACTATTGATCAAGTTTAAACCAAAATTTTTGCTATTTGAAGCAGGAAATGTGTCATTTTTTTCATTTTTTAAGGATCAAGTCTATTAGCATTGTAGAGAATCGGTAGCACTTTTAATTGTAACACGAATAATTAGAGTTTTGTTCGATGCTTACTCAAATTTCTATCGTTATTACAGGCTATTTGATGTATTTTTTCATAACAATGATGGAAATTCGAGAAAGCATTGAAAAAAACGATGTATATTATTGTTGGTATCGAAGAAAGCCTTATTTCTGTTTTGTACTGAAGTAAAAATTTCTACTTTTTCTAAAGTGTTAATGAACTTATTCTGGAATAATAAAAAGCTATGCGTCTCTTGTTTCCAATTGAAAAGAAAAGTTTTTGGATGAAGCAAGATCTGCAGTGAGGTTCTATGTACTTGTTAAGTGATCATAGCTTTTGGATATACTCTATTTATAAGAAAAATGTTCATTGAAATGTTAGACGAACACATAACGATGAAATGTGTAACGTATATGCGATGTATTCATATGAACCACCAAAAACATCAAGTGGTGAAAGTAAGCGTGACTCACCTCCAATTCGAATATGTTGGGGTAATGGAGCCAGAAAAATGGCAAGGTAAATTATTTAAAACTGAATAGAAATTTAACTAAAAAAGACCTTTTATTTTATTCGATAAAACAGTTGGAGTTGATCTAATTAGCTTCGATTTTCTAGACCACTTCGTACTCAAGTCTTATTTGTTTTGATAGCATTGCAATAATTCTTGTTTCAATAGTATAAAATGACTTAAGAACTGTTAAAAAATGGTAAATAATCGATTAATATGCTCTTCTGAAAATACAATCGAAATATATGTTATTCCTACTAGACAACCGAGATGATCATGTACTATCCTTGTGGAGTTATGGCCGTTGCTACACTTGAGTTTCTACTTATGGCACATTACTTATTAAAAAATCGACAAAAAACGAATTTGATCTTAAACTTTCTCCACAGACAATCCTTGAAATTATGAGAATCTTCTAAAAATGTAAGCGACAATTGTAGATTTAATATCTCGAGAAGAGGCCAATCTTTTTGATTGAAATTGTTTGGATAGTCTAATAACTTCGAGAACTGTATATGGAGCACGTTTTTGGCCGAGATTTGTTTGTCCGATTTTTTATTAATGCCGTGTCAAGGTAAAAAATCCAGTTTGATCGCCGCGAAGTATCACGTCAAAAAGTTTTCACGTTAGCAAAACATGTTATAGTAATTACTCTAAAACCTTTGAGAATAGAGTTAAGAAACTTCAATGTTATACATTTTAATAATTCTACTGATTTGCGAGAAGAAAAGAACTTTCTTATTCATATTTAAACAATTCTAATAATTAAAAAAATGAATACTATTTTTCTTGTTTAGTCTCATTCCTCCAGAGAGTGACATTCCTCTGCTTAAACCAGCTAATATTGATGGAATACGCAATGATCGTCAGGCTCATACTGAACATACAATGAATTCATTCAAGAGTAATTTTAATCTTATATATTTTTCTAAATAGATTAAATATCGTAATATGATTAGTTTTACGTAAACAAAATCTTACCACATCTTACAAACCGTAAAATTGCATAATGCAAAACTAATTAGATGTGAGCATTAATATTATCATTTGTTTGTCACATTTATTTTGTTTCTTTATTTTGTATGATGAATTTTGATTAATTATGAAAAAAGATCGAAAATCAATATGATTTTCTTTTTTTCAATTGTAGCTAATTTATATAAAAATGTCCAAGATTGGCCTGATATTAAGTCATTGCCAATTCAATTTGGTGAAATAGGTGGCATTGCATTAAATAATGCAAATAATGAACTTATTGTATTTCATCGTGGATCTCGAAAATGGGAGTCGGAGTAAGATTAAAGTTGCATGCAAAAGATTTATTTCTTTGTTTCGTTTATTTGTTACAATAGACATTTTAATCAATATCGTTTTCGTCATGAAGATTATGGTCCAATTGAAGATGATGTTCTTATTCATATTGATACACATACAGGAGAAACAAAATTTCGATGGGGTGCTAACAAATTTTTTATGCCACATGGATTAACAATAGATCACGAAGGAAATTATTGGTTAACTGATATTACTATGCATCAAGTTTTTATGTTTAAACCAAATGATTTAAATCAACCAGCATTGGTTATTGGAGAAATGTTTCAATCTGGTTCGGGACAAAATAAATTTTGTCGACCAGCTGATGTTGCTGTTATGATAAATGGAGATTTCTTTGTCGCCGATGGGTAAATACTTTGACAAAAGAAAGAAATTAAGAAAAAAAATTATATTTTATTTTATTAGCTATTGTAATAGTCGTATTATTAAGTTTAATCGGAAGGGAGAATATATCACGGAATGGGGTTCATCAATGACAGGAAAGCTTGATAGTAAGTTTTCTTTTTTTTCTCATGATATTTTTTGGAGATGCTTGATTAGAATTTATTTAGTTTTTTTAAAATCTATTAAATCTTTTTAGGTGATGGTTTTCCATTACCTAATGAATGGAATATTGTTCATTCAATAGCATTGAATGAAGATGCACAATTATTGTGTGGTGCTGATCGGGAAAATTTTCGTATCCAATGTTTTAATTCAAATACAGGAGAATTTCAACGACAAATACGTATTGAGAACAAAGAAACGATTGGTGCAATTTATGCTATTGAATTTGCACGAAATACGAATGGTTTGATATTGATAGTGAAATAAAAACTCTAAATAAAATGTATTATATAATTTTATTTAGGAACAATTTTATTTGTTGTTACCGGTGGAACACAAACATCGAACAAAAAAGTTTATATGATTGATGCACAAAATGGAGAGATATTAACATCATTTGATTCAAATCCAGTAAGTTCATTTATAATTAACATTCGGCAAATGTAATATATGATGTTGTTTATCTAAAAGCATCTAATTACTCCTCATGATATTACTGTGTCAACAAATGCTCGTGAAATTTATGTTGGTGAATTAGCATCATCACCTAGTAATGTTTTACATAAATTTGAATTATCTAAGCAAAGAGGTAAAAGGAAATAGATTTATTCTCTTTAATCTTCAATTCATTGTTCGATTCATTAGATGATTCGAAGGAAACATTCAATAAACGAATCAATGTCAGTGATGAAAACTTCCGTACTTCCTTAATTATAATGGCTGTCTTTACCATTCCTGTTCTTGCTTCTGTGATTATCGGATGTATTATTCAAATAAAAAATAAGCGTATGAGAGCTTTTTCTTTTCAAATAAACATTTTCAAATTAATGTTCGTATTTATAGGTAAATTTGATCGCTTGAATATATTCCTCAATGTTGCTAACAACGGTGATACTGACAGTAGCTCAGATCTTGGTGGTTGGATATATCGACGAAAAGGTTTTATGAAACTAGAACAACATTCTGATGGAGAAAATGAACCATTAGATAATCATGTTGCAGATGATTCAAATAATAATTCTGATGATGAAACCATAACTATTACAACAAAACAACAAGCAACAACATTTAATAATAAAAAAGATAGTATTACATCTGAAACAGACGACGACCTTTAAATACTTAATCTTTTTCAATAAATAAAAAAAGAATATCTCACAAAAAAATAGTCATTATAAAATCAAAACATTTTTTTTTCTGCATGCATGCCCATCTACTGATGAACCCAGCTAACTCATATTTTATTTTTATGCTATATTTTCTCGATTATAACAAAATAAATAAATATGTAAGCATATGTAAAAACAAACTTTCATTATAAATTGCATATCTTCGTCAAATCAATCTGAAAGACAGGTTTCATATTATGATAATCAAATAAATGCATGTACTCTTCTATCCAACATTTGTTGAATGAAATGTTTTATGAAATATTCGATTATCTTAATTTTTGTGATCATTCGATTTCATATAGTGAAATCACGAAATATCATTATTAGAAACTCATTATATCATATCGACATCGAATTATATTATTTCATATGCATGATAAATCATATATGTCATTTTATTTTTCATTAGATATGAATCAACTTGTTCTCTATAGAATTCAATCTCACACTATAATATCACTTCTTCCGAATTTAATTACTTTACCTCGTCTTTTCTCATTAAAAATATTCAACTTAAATAGATCGATAGAAGCATTCGATTTGAACTATTATTGGTATCTAACAAGATTTCTACATCTGTGAAATCTGTTCTGTGGTTCTGAGAATGATTGCTTGTGAGTTCCACATTTGATTTGTTTGATAAGAGGATAGGGACAAGAGAGTTTGCAACGTATTCCTTGAGACTTTGTTGTAATTGATCATGAACTAGAACAACTTCATCTATTTGCTTGATGATCAATTGATAATGTTCACTTATGTAACGTAAGCGAAAGTTGTGAACATTCATGACACATGAAAGTATCTGTTGCTGTATTGTACGTTGCACAACATATCTTGTCCGAAGTTGAAGATGCCATATGTGTTACTCTAGATGACGTATAATTTGTTCTACATGAGCACATGAGTACATGTGTATGAGTTACAAGACTTAAATCGTCTTCGCTTATACCCAATCATTAAACCATGTGCTTGTATTTGCATAGCTTTGAAATGTACGCTTTTGTCCATGCGACACATTTTTCTGATTGAAGAGTCGATCTGCGACATTAAAGTGCGATGAAAAAACTTAGAATCCAGCGTTCATGAATGATTTCATTGTCGTAACAGTCGTTATCGACACAAAATATTTCAAACAGTATTCAATAGTTTTCAGTACATGTATCACGTTTGTCATATATTCTTTGATTGAATTTAGCTCATTAGCTACTTGTTTTTTGCTACTGCTACAGTTTCTATCGTTGAAGCTTTTTGAAAATATGTATTTTTATTGCGTTAGATGTTATATGAGCATGCGTTTCATTGTATATTATGGCAGAGTAAGAAAACTACGAACACTTATGTGCCTTCTACGTTTTTTTCGAACCTCTGTAACAAGTAATAGTGTTGCTCTCCTTGCCTATATTGGTTAATTATTCTTTCACTCTCTTTTTACGACATTCTTGATGGTGTCAAGTAATGATAAAGACGAGAATAAACACGAACCGCACATGCAAAAATCAATCGAATAATTCCAATTATTTCAAACTTTTTTTGAGCGAAAGAAAATGTGACTTTTTGTCTCAAAACTCTTCAACATCTCGTTATAATACTTTATGTGTACATTTGTGTGCCATCAAATGGACCTTCGTCACTGATTAAAGTTGCGAGTGCTGTGTTGCGTAATACATCATATATATCATACCATTGTCCATTTAATGCTACAATACGATTAACTAATCGTATGCCGTGGCTATAATCTTTATAATAATGATCATGTGATACATAATTTAATGGTTGAATTATTTGTCCTGATGGATACCACCATCCCACAATAGCTACATTCTTTGGATGAGTTAATAGTCCAGCAGAAATTACTACGTCTTTTTTGTGGCCAGCTACCAGCTCACCTGGAACTTTATTGGCAAGTGCCGTTTGAATTTTTTTATTATGAAATATCATTCTGTCTGTTGACATCATAGTCGCATCGTATGGCGCACCGTTTGGACTGGGAGATAGTTTAACTGTGGCTGCTTGCCAAATTTGATGTGCCATTTTCCTTGTTGGTAAAACACAAGCAAACAGATCTGCAACTTTTCTTGCTGTTAATGGATTGAGTGGCGTTCTTAAGTAATCTGTATTTGTGCCTACGGAAAGAACATCAGGAAGAACCCAATATATTAGTGTATCATTTCCAGCTGTTACTGTGACAGAAATAGCATTTCTCATAAATTCAGGAACATTTCCGGCTAAAAATTGTGCAAATATTAAATCTTCTCTTGTTTGAGTTGGCCCCACATTCATTATTGAATTACCAAAATCAGTTCCATTAATAGTAATAGTATGTGATGGTATTTTGAATACCGGCGCATCTATTTGTACGATATTCGATGATGATAATTTGATTGATGCCCTATTACTGAACTCGATGTCTTTCGCAAGGGTTTTCACAGGATCACTGAATGTGATTGCAACCATGATCGTCAATATAGCAGTGTACACTTGAAGCATTATTTTTTCCTCAAAAATGAAGCTATTTGAGAATAACTAAGAAGAATTAGTTGATGGTCTAAATTGAAAGGATTATTAAAAGGAATGGTGGGGACCAGATTTCTCTGTAAAAAGCACATGTATTTTTTTATTTTGTTAAAATGAATCGATGTGAAAAACATCATGATAACCATATGGTAAATCGTTTTTTACTCGTTTTTTTTAAAGAAAAGATTCACAATACAAAAATGCTTGTCTGCCGGTCTAACCAATGAGAAAGCAGCACTACACCAGCAGCGAAGTATATTATATTTTCTCAAGAAAAAATTTGACCCAGTGGTAAAGATAAGTTCGGAATTTGAATTTGAGATCAAGTTCCGACTTTTAAAATAATTTGATTTTTTTTATTATTAGTCATTTGTAATAGTTTTCCAAATAGAGCATGTAGATGTATGGGGGAAAAGAAGCATAGCTTCTGAAAAGGAATACTTGCTAAATAAACATTCAGCTATTTAAATCATGTAGCAGCTATGTTTAATAAGAATAGAATCTTATGAGTTGTTCTTAACTTAATCAAGGTTAATATAATACGCTGAACAGCATAAAAAAGTTTTAAACAATATAGTCAAGGTCTAAATCTCGAAACGCCTAATCTATGAAGTATTCTCATAAAAAATGGTGCGATCTTGTTCTAATGGCTATTACTATACTTTAAATAACACTGAACATTTGCAACTAATGTATTATATATACAATAGCTGCTCATCAAAACATTCAACATAAACAAATAACTGCTACCTATTTAAACAGCTATAAAGATTTATCAACCAGTGCGAAAGGTATTTAAAGAGTACTGCAGTATAAATAACTAACCATCATGGAGATATTTTCATTTTTCACCCTTCTCCCTTACTCGAAAACAATAAATAATGCTAAATAAATAGCTGATCTTCATTTTAATAACAATGAATATTTATTTATGAGTGTTGTAAATAATGTTTCATATTAAACAACTATTCATGAAGATATTTGCCAATATATAATCTTAAATAAATAGCTACAAAGTTTGCAATTTTTTTATATTAAAAAAAAAATTGTATGCCCTTTGAGAGTGAACTGAAGCGAACATCTACAACCACCCACACATCTCACAGATTCATCTGCAAGATTCAGAACAAAAATCCATATACTTACACGCGAGACTCACAATATCGCTCACTTGTGGGCCTATACATCAACTGGTATATTTTCTTTGACACTCGTCTGGTATACTAGAGAAAAGATATTTATTTGAAGCGATAAGTAGTAAAATGCAGGTTTAAATTTTGTGCAAGATATTAAATGAGATTACAAGATTGTTGATCAAATATTGGTCTATAATTTTCTGAAGAATATTGAATATTAATCGGAAGTTATTGTAACACCAACATTCTTTGGCACTAATGTAAGTTTTTGGTTGTGTCCACCTGCATTGACTTGTGGACCACCATCGCCGAACGTAACATGTTGCATTAGTCTAGCTGCGATTGCTTTCAGCTCTAGTCGAGCTAGGTCTTGCCCAATACATTGTCGATGACCACCACCAAATGGAATCAATGCATATAAATGATGATCTTTGTCTTCACCTTGAAATCGTTCAGGATAGAACAAATCTGGATCAATTTTCCAGTAGCGTTTATCTCGAGTTAAATTGTAAATATTAATTATTACTTCATCGCCTTTATATAACTGAGCTCCACTGGCTGGTAATCGATCATCGGTAGTGACACTGCGAATTGTGGAAATGGCAGGTGGAACAAACCGAAGTACTTCTTGAATAACACAATTCAAGTATTCAAGGAAGTCGAGCTGTTCAATAGACAAATAGTTTTGCCGATTGTCGTCGAGTTCGGCTTTGATTTTTGCTTGAACACGCGGATTTTTACTCATGAGATGAATAAACCATGACAATGCTGTCGATGTCGTTTCGGAACCGGCCACAAGAAAAAAGCAATATTTCATTAAATATTTCCTTGGAAGATAGTCCTAAACAAGAATATAGGATACTGGGATAATTTTTAATATGAAAAGATTGGGCCACAAGAAAAATCTTTAAATATTGCCTTACCTTTTTGTTTTTCTTCTGGTAATTCTGATTCAATCTTTACATCTTCTTGCCATGAACTAACAAGTGAAGCAATAAGACATTTTCTTTTTCGTTCAAGAATTGATTATAATCCCTTGCTTTGTTCTTGCTCAATTATTCGATCAGAATACTCACGGATAACATTCAATGCTTGACAATATCGAGAATTAAATTTCAAATAAATTCTGGCGATCGTGGATGGCAAAAGTAGCGCCAGTGCAACAATATCCAAATAGTCTTTTAAAGACTTTCTAAGTCTATTATTTTGAGCACTATCATCATCGCCTAACATTTGTAAATCATAATCAAAACCAATATAACCAAATATTTCTAGTAATAAATTTTGACAATCTTTGACTATATCGAGATGAATATAGTTGGGATCATCTGCTTTCGAATGCCATACATCGAGCAATTTGTCTGTACATTCATAGATTATATTCAAATTACTCAAGATTTTGGCACCACGAAAGAGAGGAAGAACAATAGTTGCATGACGCTTGTACTTGACTCCTGTAATAAAAATCAATAAAAGGATACGAATGTGTTGTTCGTATAGACAAGTTCAAAACATTAAAAGTATAGAGAATTAGTTATAAATCAGAAATCATTTGTCGATGTGAAGCCATTACAAGGATTCATTATTGTTTAAATCTTTGAGAAAATGATTTGTGTAGGTCGGATTTGAGAGAATATTTTTGAATTCATATTTCTAAGTGTCCTTACTCAAATCCTATCTAAATAAATCTTCGATGAAAGAACTTAGAAATCATCGAAAATTCTCACGAAGTTACTGGCATTGGTGAAAATTTTCCACTAACGAGAATCGACTTGTCTCTAAATCTTTTCTTTCAAAATATACTTTTCTTTGAAGTAATGCAGACAATATTTACGCATAATTGAAGTCTCTAATTATATCATTATCTATCATTGACCTGTAATGGACACAAGTGCATCTGGAAGGACAACACTGAAACGGCCCATATGTGTAGGACTTTGTTCATAAATGTGTTGATGAGTAAAGATATATTGTATATCTTCAACATTACATACACCGATCATTCGCAAGGGTCCAATCCAATACTGATAGACATCACCAAATTCAGCTTGCATTGTCAAAGTGGCAGTAGTTGGTGAAACTCCGCGGAAAACACCCATCTGTATGAGATTCCCAAATAAAAAATGAGGTGATTTTCCGCGCAAGGGACCATATAGAGTAAAGAATTTTAGTTTGATGTAAACAACAAGTATTAAAAGTAGAATAACGAGCAGCACAAGAAGTATGGCCATGATTGCACGTGCAAAATATAGGACGAAACGTGTTTTGACGTTGTCTTGTTTTTCTCTCGACGTGTTCTTGATGAAAAGAGAACGAGAAAAGAAAAAACATACACGCAGAGCTAATTATTAATGTCAGCGAGCATCGAAAATGAGTTATACACCAATCACTTAAAAAGAATGTACTTTTTGGAACGGTACGAAATGAAACAAAGGAATAGTAAATTTAGTAAAAGTAGAGAATTTATACAACAAGAAGAGAAAAAGAAAACTCAGAATGATTTTCTTTTTTGTTAGAAGATGTATATGAACAAAAAAATGTTCTTAAGCTAACAGAGAAAAGACGACGTTGAAGAAAACATAGAAAAGAAAGAGAAAATAATTCGTCAAGTAATTATATATGTATAACGCTTGAGGAATATATTCTCATTGGCTTGGTATTTAGCACCATTAAGCCAAAGTAAGAATAATAGTGTTCCTTGACCGCATGAAAACGAATGTTTCATGCATCATGTCTTGCTTTCGAAAGCATGATTTTCCAAAATTCGTTCAAAAATATCATTATGCAGCACCTACAAGTATTTTTCTTCTTTATGATAGTACTAAAATGTTTGAAAATGTCGTGTAAATTCAGATAATCGAAACCCCAGAATGACTTATCTATATCAAAATATGTTGAATACTGACTTGAAGAAGATGTGTAAACGCGGAGGTACTCATCTTACGTTCAATAATTCCTTTTAATAGAAATTTCATGATTTGTCATTATCGACAGAGGATGAATCAGTCAAATGGATGAAAGATTGCTTTCCGTCAACATGAAATATATCGAGACATCCGTACGGTAATGGATTTATTGGCAAAGATTAAAAGAAATTTGATATTGTGTTGGTGAACAATACCAGTCTTTGGTTTTTGTGGTTTCCTGTTTCTAATCGAAATAATTGACGATCTGTTGGGGGCATTAAGAGATTAGTCAATCTATCTGGGATTATCAGTCGATCGATTGATGAGATCCCAGTCTCCCACATTGCCATCAAACGACTACGCACTTTCTTCGTCGAAATGATAGATTATTGTTTAGTGCATAGGTGCTTTTTTTTGCTCCTGTAATTTATGTGGGCAAGCTGTAAGATAGTTAAAGAATAGTTGCATCAGCTATAATAGAACTACCCTGGTTTTTTGAAAATGCGCCCATCATCATTCATATTCCTTTTAATAGTGCAAGAAATCGAACGATATAGTAAGTCTTCAAGTAGAAAAAAAAATATTGCCAAGTGACATCAAAAATTTAAATAAATAAATTAATAGTTTCATTGGAAATTAAACTAATTCTATCTAAATACTGTCGGCAATGGTAAGTGGCATAATGATGTAGAAGATTCAGCTCGAATAATTAAATATGATGCAGATTTAGTTTGATTTTTAAATGCCACCTGTAGCATATCATGAAATTAGCATTTGATATATCAGTGGAACCGTGACACAATAATGACATCTCATGACATATTCAATTGCTATCTTTAGCGATGATATTAGGTGTTGATATATTTTCAAAAGCGTTTTTTAAACTGCTTCCTAGTTTCAATCCTGATCATTCCTGATGAAAACATGGAATGATTGGTCAGGATACGGATTTGCCAGGATCTAGTCATGTTTTAATCCAGATTCTGGTTCGAATCCTGACCGTTTCTTGTTCCAAGATTTTCTATTTTTTCGTCAATATCTGTTTCAGGATCCTGACTGGATTATTCTCTAGATCAAGAATGCAGAACCTTGTCAGAATTCAGTCACAATCTTGGTCAGGATCATGACACAACAGAAGATAAGGATCCTTTAATGTTTTGACAAATGTTTCGACCTTGTTTAGAGGTCTTATTTGTTTGAATTCAAAAATTTAAAACATGACAAATCCATAATGTTGATCTATTGAATACACAATAGACCTTCGATCTCATCAAGCAGACAAATTAATATAAGTATGAATTGTACTATAGTCTCGAATGGATTCTTGTAAAGAAATATCAAAACAAATGTGAATATAAATTGTGAAATCTGTAATGCATATGATATCACAAATAGTTAATATTGTTAAGTTTTGATATCACAGCGCGATATTTAGTCTAACTTTCAATGGCTACGGTATTATTTGAACTTTTGAGTGAAATAAAAATTCAGTGGGCTGCCTGATTTTGAATCAATTTGAAGTCCCGAAATTTGAAAAAGCTACTTTTTTCTCTCGTAATGCAGTTTATTAACTGCTACTACGAACCATTGAAGACACTTAGCGATGATTCTTCCTTGACCTTGTGATCCATCGAGTTGAACATAACAAACATGTTCATGTGAGAAATAGGTCCATCATATTTCACATTTTGATTTCGTAGGAATTGCACTGAAAGCTTTTTATATAAACTGAACAATACATTAAAACAAGCCTAGAAGAAGTGTATCTCATAAAATGAAATAGTGCGCAAAGTTGAATTTAGCGCAATTTGCTATGAAAGTTTTTGGTTATTTTTATTTAGCTTTGCTCTAAAAATCTCGAAAAGACCAATGATCTTAATCGGACCAAAGGTTTTTTCAGCATAACGTTTTCAAAAACAGATTATTTACAAAACACTCTCAAACTCTCAGTATACGAATGAAATATGATAGGACCAAAACAGGCTTGAGATCAGAAAAAAATCTACCACATTATATTGAAGATTATACCCATGTACAAATAATTTTATAAAAGTCACAACAAATTCTATTTTTTCTAATTGATGAAAAACATACACCTTTAATCAATTATAATCAGAAATATCAAAATTCCATTGATTATTCTGATTATTTTTCAATGAAACCGATTTGAGATTGTTGAAAAAAATCATTTTTAATCGATTTCATGTAATTAAAAGCAGTAGAGTTTTAATCCAATTTAGTATATTGCACATTGATTACTATTGATTTCGTCATGCTTATTAAATCGATTTTAATCAAAAATAACCGAAATAATCGATGAAATTTCGATATTTTTGATTATTTTTTTTAATGATAATGGATTAAAATCAGATTTTTCTCGTTCTTTTTTTACGCAGATTAACCTACTTGAATCTATTTTAATCCATGGTTACCTTTTAATCCTTTTCGATTATACATATCGCAGATAAGTGATTTCCTCTTGACTCGAAGATGTAACTTCTAATTTTTCATGATAATTTGGATTTGCTCATGTTCAGAAATTATAAAGTTGCTAATGAACCAAAGTCACACAGATGTTGATAAGTTGGAATTTCGATATAAATTGTTTCAAGTAGAGATGGCGCAATTAAATCAGGAATCGATTAAAATCAATAAAAATCAAATTAATATAGAACGTTGTATTGAATTTAATCAAAACTACCTTATTTAATTGTTTTTTTTTAAGATAATCCAATAAAAGTCGCGTAAAATTTCATGCCTCTGTTTTATGATTAACAGATTAGGAAATCATTTTTATCAAAAAGAAAGAAATTCAAAAATCCACAGTACTCTTTATCAATTCCAATTCGAATCGATTAAAAATCTATGCAAATAGCATCGATTTAACTAATTCTTAGCACCCAATATTGTGATCTTCGAGCAGCATTCTCTTATTATCATCGATTGAAATCAATGTCTTTATCAGAATAAAATTGACTTTATTAGAAATTTAATAGAATAATCGGGTGAAACTTTGAGAATTTTCATTATATTTGAGAATAATTGACTAAAAATACACACATGGCAATTAAAAACTGCATGATTTTAATCGATTCCGAATCAAGCTCTAACGTATTGTAATTGAGTTTTTTCTCTAACTGTTTTACATGAGTTGAGAACTTCATGCAACAGAACGTTTTTCTGGTTTCTCTAAATCGATTAAAACCGATTCAATTTTGCTATTTATTATTTATATTATTCTGTACGGAATAAATTTTAACAGATTATTTGTGTAATCAGTTATAGTCGGTTAGATGTCTAATTGATTATATTAATTATAAACGAAATAGATTAACATTGATTTTGGCCTTTCAAAACCTATTATAATTGTTTGTATTATTGAATTTAATCTGAAAATGGCACGTTTAATTGATTCTTTGATTATTTTTGGAAAAATCAGTGTTAATCTGATTATTCGACCATTTTTTCTACATGGATTTGTATTCCTATGAAAAAATTGAGTTTAATCAATTATTTCCAAAATTGTTTAAAATCGATTACTTCGATGTCTTTTAATAAAATCAGTTTTTATCGGTTTTATACTGAGTAAAATCAATTATCATCATATGTTACATTGCACTTAATCGAAATAAGGTATTTTCAATCGGCTTTTTTTGTAATTTTTTTCGAAATTCGATGTTTATCAGATTTTTGGCCTCTGTTTTACTAGGATGGTGTCTTTCTTACGTTTTTTTTGGTTCTGTCCTTGGTCTCTTATGACAGATGCACAGCACGTACAGAAATTGGGATCCTTGGTGTATCTTTAATTATTTTAACTAGTTGCTTATTGTGCGTATGCTTCACTGATCATGTTGATGGAAAACAAAATACGTACATCACGTTTGAATAATAATATAATCATTCGACGACAAAAATTGCAAATCAATATTAGATTAATTAGCAATTAAATAAAATGCATCGAAATGAAACCAAGACGATCGAATCCAGTCATGTATATGATGCTTGATACTCTTTGAAAACTTGTTTTTATTCATCCAAATAATTATGAATTGTAATCTTCTTAGGATTACAATGTGAAACATGATCAAGTTTCTATAATAGTAGTAGATGTGCTATCATCAACTCCGTTATAACTGTTATCAGATCGAAAAAAGAGTTCCTATTAAAAAATTTGACTTTAAATAAATGGTGCTTCGACAATTTTCAGATATACGTGAAAGATTGTTTAATAAAACTGTTCTAAGATCACTCTTGTATTTGTCAAGAGAAAATGTCTTCGAATATTTCGATAAAGAGAAGAACATATTTTTCTGTCAAAACAGATTGTATCCTAGAGCACAATAGTCGAGTCCAGAAGGCAACATGTTCAATGTTTTGAGTGAAGATTTCGCCCAATATCGATTTTATGAGGGAACGATTTTCAAAAATATTTTATTTAAGTTTATCTATATTGAACAGAATCTTTCCGTGGATCAAAAATAATGGAGAGCAAAACCACATCTTTCGAGTCTTTATTGTGTGTTATTAACAGCCACCACTAGACTTAACAAACAGCACATATTCATCTTCGAGTTCATATTATCCAGCGAATGGTTGCGATGTTACAGGCAACAAAATACAGCAGCGCACAATTCCTCAACTCATGTTCGTCAATTTTTCTCTCAATTTCAACCGTAATTGTCATTCGTTTTTTTTCTTCTCATTAGATCGAGTTGTATCTAGTCAATATCAGACTCTACCTGGACTATACTTGCACTTTTCGGTCCTTATAAGTATCGCAATGGCCATTGGTGTTCTTATAATTTGCTTGACTGCACCAAAAGAGCCAAGTAAGCTTATTCGAGTAGCCGATGAAGACAGCAGCATGTCAAAATTCTCACAAGAATACAATACTAGCAAAGAAGAGCGAGAACAGACATGAGAGAGAGTCAAGAATTAAGATGGTGATGAAACTTTGACGAATCAAACGACGTATGTCACTGGGTCTAATTCTGCTCCTCGGTCGGTGACTGTTAGTGACTTTAATAGAGATAATCGATTAGATATTGTTGTCGCCAATTTCACCACCGATAATATAGGCATATTTCTTGAATATGGAAATGAAAGTTTTGCAAACCAAACGACATATTTCATCGGTTCTGATATGTGACCAGGAACAGTTGTCGTAAGCGATTTTAACAAGGATCGAAACCTCGACATTGCTATGGCTAATATTAATGGCAATAGTGTCGGTAAATTTCTTAGCAATGGTAATAGAACATTTGTAAAACAAACAACATAATCAACTGACTCTGGTTTATATCCAAGATCATTAGTCATTAGTGATTTCAACAATGACTATATGTTGGATATAGCTGTGAGCAATCCTTAAGTGACTAATATGGGTGTTTTTTTAGGAGAAAAAAAAAGATTTTTCTTCGTTCAAATTATCTGTTCAACTGGATTTGATTCCGGAACACGATCTACCTGTGTTGCTGATTTAAATAATGACAACATATTGGATATTGCTGTAGTCGATAATGGTACTGATGATGTTAGTATTTTTCTTGCACATGGAAACGGCACGTTTTCTTTCAAAATTTCATATTCAATTGGTTACAATTCTGAACCGACTTCAATTCCCATTGGTGATTTCAATAATGGCAGATTGGTTGACATTGCTCTCACTACTTATCACACGAAAAATGTAGAAATTCTTTTGAAGAAATGTTAACATTATTTTTGATTTATTTTTTTTTGGTTTTATGTATCATGTTCACTAAACCATTTGTGTCTTTCGTATGTCCTAAAAATTTGTCTTTACTGCTAAAAACAAAATGTACAGACTCAACAAGAGTGATATCAGCAGTCAAAGCGGACGTGTGTCCTCAATCAAACTGATTATCTAGACTAAACAATCCAAGATTCGCAAAACGGTAATTAATATCCTAGACTAAATAGCCTAGGATCTGTGCAACGATAATCAATCGATTTTTAGGAGTTGTTTGATCATTTCTATGGGATTTTTCACTTCCAGTTTTGGAAGCTTAGATGTATTCAATTTTTAGATGTATATAGGTGAATGTAGAAGAAGAGAAGATTTACACCCATGTTTTACGCCCACAGCCATATCCTCAGAGACCATGACAGACAAGATCGACAGACCATCATGAACACATTAGAAAGGGCTCATCACAGCCATGAAAGACATTACCAGTAACATCTCTCCTTCATCACAGACCATGGCAAATACGGTACTAATTCTCTCCTCTCTCCTCCCCAGCATAACATCTCATTATAGTATATGAACGGCAATTAGCCACCAAAGTTTAAGGGAATTTGTTTTTTCTTTTATATGAAAGGACACGGACCCGATTCAAATCGTGATATAGATAGTATGAGAGGCTGGCTACATGATGTATTATAGAAGAGGAGTCTGTCTGTCTATATAGAGTTTTCATAATTAAAATAATTTTTTTCCACGCCAAAATAGTTTCAAATGCATTCCAGTATTTGGCATTTCCTAACCAAGACATTTGTACTAAAATGAAAAAAAAATGGGAAGCATTTAAATCCTTTTTTTGCATGGAAAAATTAATTTTTTTTTATGAAAAATTTATATAGACAGACAAGGCTCCCTCGTAGAATATCTCATATAGCCGGCCTCTCATACTATCTATGTTACCATTTGAATCAAATCCATACTTCTCAATGTGAAAGAACATTTGAAAAAACAAATATAAACAAATAACTCAAACAAAACAAATTCACTTAAATTTTTGTCACTATCTGTATGAATATTTAAAATTTTATCTCAGAATGTTTTGTTCGATTTTGATTCCTAGTCGATGATTTTTGTTTTCTTTTTTTAACTACTCGACTTAAAATATCAGATGGTTGTTGACTATTCGCATTTTTTCTAGAACGAATACTTTGTTTTGTCTATTGATCCTTAAATTAATGTTAGGAGAGGAAATGTTTGATTGAAAGTTTTTTAACATTATCTGATGGCATACCAGATATTTCAACTAATTTATTTATTGGACATTGTGTCTTTATCAGATATGTTTTCCATTCAGTTGATTTTGTTTGATAATGATAAACATGAAAAAGATTTTCATATAAATTAATAAAACGTTGTTCATATATTGCATTATAATTAATTATATGAAATTCACGTTGATGAATAGAAGCTAAATCACGAATCATAAATTTACGATTTATTTGTTTTCGACCACATTGATGTATTCCAGCTTTATTTTCTCCATGATCAAAAAATAAATGACTAAGAAGAATAATAAATGAAGGTTTTCTTAGTAAATTAATTAGTTTAGATATATTTTTTTTTCATACCCTGACACTGTTTTAATCAATGGTCGATAAAGATTAAATGTAGTTACTTTAGGTATTTCTCTGATAAATGAAGGTCGTACAATAAGAAGATCAATGATTATTTCAATATGATAGGATGATAATGGGTATTGAACTTTAGTCCAATCGACACGGGTACCTAATAATTTTTCCGCACCAAGAAAAGCTAGTGGAATTCCATTCATATTTTCATATTCAATTGATGGATATATGTCATTAAGAATGTATAATTTACCAATTATTAATGTATCAAAAGCTAACGACGGTTCATCATATGAATTTTTTGGTGATGAAGCAGATGATGTGATTGAACGAGTTGTTCGATCTTTTCGATAAAGAAATTCATTAATTTGTGAGTCTCTTTGAGAATCATATTGAAATTTGTCTTTGATAGGTATTTGTTCTGAATCAATGGAAAAGTTCATAGTTGAAATAGAGAAAATAGAATGTTCATCGTTTGTTGGAGTCTTCAAAAGCGATGGAGTGATTAAATGTGATACGACAGGAACACGATCATTGGAAATAGTTGAGTGTAACTAAAGAAAAAATTTTTAAAAAAATATCTTTCTAATGAATTTTTTTGATATGGTATCGAATCTTAAACAACTATTGACCTGTGTTTTTAATTTTTTTGATTTCAAATTTAATAAAAGTTTATCAGTAGATGAATTGTGTTGAATCGATAGATCTAATAATGGTTGTAGGTTTCTTTTTTTTACATTAGAATAGATTGATTTTTGTTGGATTATTTTTTTTAATTTAATATCAGTCTTGAGCAAACGGTCAGACGAAACAATCGTAGTATTTATTGTATTGTGTAATAAACCTAACTTTTGTGACTTTGATTTCATTTCTTTCATATATGTTAAATTGATTTGAGAAAATTTCTTTTGTCTTTGATTCATTATTTATTAAAATTGTTATATAAACTACCTAGCTTTTTGTTGTCATGTTAGTAACTAGTAAATATCGAAAGAAAATTTAATTTTTTTTAAACGAAAAGAAAAATGTCAATTAACGAACCATTAAAAATAATATCATTTTATTATTTTTATGATAGTATTATTTAATTATTTGTGAAGATGTAGCATTGTGTTTTAATAAGAATAACGATAACGAATGTACACTTCTTCTCGAAGAAATCTATATCGAATGAATACGAAAAAAAGAAATACTCATTCTATCTAAAGTTTTCAAAATTTTATGCATTAGTTTAATTATTGTAATTTAGTTTTTATTTGTTTTATGAAATTTTAAATGTTAAGAAACATTTTATAATCATACACCCTTTATTACGCTATGAATCATCAATAAAGTGTTAAAATTTTATCGACTGGATGAATAAAAAGGACTGATGTATGCATTTTTCTTTTGGTTATAAGTTTGACTATAGCTTTTAAGATCAGTACTTTTTTTTTATAAAATAATCAAAAGGCATAGTTAAAAGTCAATAACAAACAAACTCATAAGTAGGCTAGCGCCTTATATTGATGTATGACAATAGATTGTAATATCTTATTGTTATAAAAGAAAAATATTTTTTCAACATTGTGTATGCCGCTAATAATTTTTTTAAGTGTAGCGATTGCTATCGATTGCCATCTGGTGATCCGCCCATAAACAAACTGATAAGTGTCAGAAATTTGAAGACCGTGAGTTCTAGAGTCTCGCTTCATCGCGAGACGAGTACAAGACGAAGTGAGATTTGATGATGTGTTCCATCTGCTTAGGATTCATTTATACTGTCTTATCAAAACTTACTCAATTACTTTATTTAATTCTAGTAAGTATAGCTAATGTCGAACGTCAATGTAGTACTGATGGTTTGATAGTCAACTCCAAACGTATTCGATTAAATCCACAACAAGCAAATAACGTATTGTTTTATAAGGTCAGTAATAAAGAAAATTCATGATAGTCATTCATGTTGATGATCTCATTGTATATTTCGGTATTATGTTTCTTAATCCTATTAATATGTAACAAATGTACTTTATTTGATCTTTTGAAATAAAAGAAATAGGAATTGTTACATGTGCTTGAAAAAATGCATAAAAAACTATTTGTTTTTGTGCTAAAGGATGTTTCATAAGCTTTGGTTTCATTTTTATTATGTTTTTCTTATCGAATTTAAAGGTGAATGAACATTGACGATATATTTTTAAAGAGTAGCGTCTAAGCTCTCATCGACGAGAAAATACATTCGATTTCCATCAATCCTAAAAAAAGGTGCTTCATTAATAAAAATATTCAAAAAATATAGAAACCATTTCTTCTAAATTTTTCGCTGTCAAGGTTAGAAAAAACAGCAGTTACTCTCTCACTTACTCACTGTGAGTCACTTTTGTTGTTCTAATTTCGTTGTATGTTATTCAAGTGAGAAAAAATCTATTTTCGCGTACATATTGGAGACCACATCATCGTAATGCCACGCTTGAACTATAGAAACAGAAATTTAGAGACTATATGTTTAATCAACAAATATCACAAGGAATTACATACATCAAAGACTGACATGAAGCTAGACTTAGTGAATATGACCGCAACCTAAAAAGTTTTAATTGACTTATTTTTATACGAGAAAAATGCATGTTGTAATTTTCTCTCACACAGTTAGCATGCTGTAACAAAAGAACGACAACAGTTCCTTGTAGTGAGTAAGCAATTGACTGTTATTTTTAAACTCTAATTATCATAGCTCTGCGAGGAATGGGACAAATGTCTTTCTCGTCAAAATGTAAACTTGGTTATGATGAAATACAAAATGAAATGATGAAATATATATGATATTCTTAATGCAAACAATGGATGTGTTCAGAAAAGTTTTTTTGATATTTGACGAACGTGAAATCCCATGAGATGAATGGGACAAAACATTTGGAAATAGTCCCATCCCATATTAGACAGTTTGTGATAATTCATTTCATGGGACAATTTGGTTCGTTTCATCCCATCCAACGTGGAGCCCTAATAATTATATTCTTATCTTAACATATATGGGCGAGTATTTTACGAAAAAGCTGGTCAAGACGATGGTGAATTGATTTTTCAGTTGTTTCGCGAATCTCTGATAAGTGTATAGAATAGAAACATATCTTAGAAATTATTGTTTCAATCTTCATCAAATTCTGATAAAGATAATAGTTAACATGTCTGACTAATTTGTTTAATAGCTTTCCTTTACTAATCATTCATTTGAAAATCTGAGAAAAGAAAACGAATCTATACTTAGCGTCATCTTTTGACGAATAGAAAACCTAATGATGTAATAACGAATCAATGACGTGTTCATTCACTCTCAGAGAACCAATACAATATTTACTCATCCTACCTTTTTTTTATTTCGTTATTTTTCTTGTCTGCTATTTATTTTTGTTGTTTCCTCGTTTCACTAGCAAATGCATTTGTTTCGAAGTCAAATAACATCAACGCATGATGACGCAAGAGCAGCAAATTCGAATGATGATTTTAAATTTTCTTCACATAGTAAATATTTTGCACGATGTTTAACTGTATTACCTTCTTACACGAGTTCATTAGACAATAGTCGTGTAACAGTTGCATTTTATAGCTTAGCTGGCCTTGATTTACTTCATTCCTTACCTATATCATTACCATATGAATCAACTGAATTAATATCATGGATTTATCAATTACAATTAATAACTGATTCTACTGCATGTGGTTTTCGTGGTTCATCATGTGCAGTTACATCACGAGCAACACCAAATCCTTATGATCATGCACATATAACAATGACTATGACAGCACTTTTATCACTTTTATTATTAGGTGATAATTTAGAAAATGTTCAACGTCATAAAATTGCATCATCACTTGTTCATCTTCAATTACCAAATGGTGCTTTTGTAGCTACATGTTTATCAACAGAAAATGATTTACGTTTTGTTTATTGTGCATGTGCTGTTGCATTTATTTTAAATGATTGGTCTGGTATAAATAAAGATTTATGTACGAATTTTATTCTTCAATGTCGCACATATGAATATGCATTTGGACAAATACCTAGTGCTGAAGCACATGGTGGTTCAACATTTTGTGCTATAGCTGCATTATCATTAATGAATCGTTTAGATGATTTAGATCATCAAGATGATCTTATACGTTGGTGTTTACAAAGACAAAATGAAGGTTTTAATGGTCGACCAAATAAACCTGATGATTCTTGTTATTCATGGTGGATTGTTGCAACATTAAAATTACTTAATAAAGATATTTTAATAAATATTGATCAAAATCAAATTTTTTTACATGCAACTGAATCAAAAATAACTGGTGGATTTAGTAAATGGCCGGATTCAACAGCTGATCCTTTACATTCATATTTAAGTTTAGCTAGTTTATCATTAATGAAACATGAAAATTTAAAATCTATTCATCCAGCATTAATTATTTCAATGGATGTTTTTGAAAGACTTAAAACAGATATACATCCAAAATGGAATAAATAAACAATGTCTTTTTTTGTTCGGCGTTGTTCGGATTTTCTTTCTTTTTTAATTTTGTTTTTAGATCATGTTTTATTATGGATAAGCGTTATATGAAATCATGGTCTCAATCAATAATACAAGAACTAATATTTAGTATTGATACTTCATTAGAATTTTTATATAAATATATTGAATTACCATTACAAAATGTATTTTATTGTTTCGGTAATATTTCATTATCGCATTATCGTCGACGATCATTAATTGAATTTTCAAGACATTTAACTCAGATACTTGTTCACAGTTACGCAATAACATTTTTTCTATATTTTATTTTTTTATTATTGGCTCATCTATTTTCTATTTCTACTCAAAACCATTATTTTATTGATCCATTTTTATCAAATAATCGACAATGCATTGATATAAAATTTGTTCGTATTAAAGATCATGAACATGATTTTCAACATATTCGATTAAAACATAATTTTATTCGAGAAAATGTTATTATTGGCGATCAAATTTATCGAAGAAAAACATCTAATTACAGTCAACTTTATCAATTATTACATCTACTTGAAGAAGATCATTATATGATCTGTCAACGTTCACTTTATATATATACACGCTTTCATGTTTATTCTTCCTTATTACATAGTAATCATTCGCAATTTCGATTTTATATACCAAGCTATCCTTCATCATTTACCATTGATCAACCACCATTTCTTGATTTATGTCTTCATACATCTAATCATACGCATTTAGAACAGATAAAATCTCGTCTTCTTCCATTATCATCTCATTATTATGGATCTATTAATTTATTTCTTTTTGATTTTAATTTTACACAAGTTAGTTTAACACTTTATCAATTAAATAATGAATCAATACATCTTGAACGTGTTTCTATTCATACCGGCTGGTTATATGATATATATTCTCAATTTTATTTTTTCAAATATAATGATGCCTTATCAACAGTTTTATTTGATGGTTTACCTGTAGGAGAACATTTTGTAGATTATTTTGATTATTTATATGTACCTTTACCTGCTGATCCATTACTCGGTTTGAATGAAATGGTCCAACAAGCGCTTTTAGTATTACCATTATGTCAATCAACGTGGAATACATAATGACTTGTATATGAAAACAAATTTCATTTTTTTTTACTCACACTTCAGTTCTATTCTCTTTTTCTTTTTGGTAATGAGTCTGATTGACTTATGATAATCTCTGTTACGATCTTAAAGAAGTATTATGTTATGCATTTATTCTTCCTTTTTCAGATCTTATTTCTTTATTCTTCAGCTACACATCTATTCAAAATGTTGGATTTTTTTTACATTCTTACCAAAGGTGGACTTGTACTTTGGTGTGTACCATCATCGGCTACTCAATTTATCAAAATTATTAATAATGCTATTGACAAAGCTGTTTTACAAGTAAATGAACATTTGCTTCTTGTCTTATGTTTTTTATTTTTTATTTGTTTTTATTATTCATTAGGGTCAAGGTAGTGCACAAAAATGGGTTGCACCATTAAGTCCTCATCATATTCATTATAAATTAGATAATGAATTTGAACTTGTCTTTATTGTATGTACATTTATGATTTGACTGACCATTTTTTATATAATTCATTTTTAGCTGGGTTATCAAAAAACGTTAAATATATCGTATGCTGATAAGTTCTTGAATGAAATACAAAAACGTTTTCGTGATCTATACAAAGATGATTTAACAATTGGTAAGATTTATTTATTATATATAGTGACAAACTGAAAAGAATGTTTATGTAGCGGTAAGAATTCTCTATTAGAATGAATGAAACTGAAGGCACCAACAAAACTGTTTGGATGATGATCTGCCGAAAACCAGCTTCTTGACTTCCATTCGAAGGTTTTGAGAAAAGATTTTATTTGACAGAGCAAATAATTCTGAGTAAGATAAGATGTCTCTGATCTCTTCATGATCTTCCTTTATCGAACTGCATTCAATTTACAGAAGACTCAACAAGCATTTTTCTCTTGTTCTTATTGAAAACTTCAATGTTTTTGTCATGCGTGACGCTTTGGGATCTTCTCTAAATTGAATGCAATTGGATAAAGGAAGGTCATAGAGATTTCTCAGAATCATTTGTTCTATCAAATATAATTTTTTCTCAAAAGCTTCGATCGAAAGGCAGGAAGCTGGCTTTCCACGGATTCTTGTGCAACCAGTTTTGTTGAAGTCTTCGCGCTTACCGATTCTAATAGAGAAGCTTTTCAGTTATATAAATGTCTTTTTAAAGATCTTTGTTAGCTTTTACCATCGAGAAGAAAACTTAAAAATATAGTTCTAAATTTTTATCTGCCACTCTTTACTATTTTTGTTTTTTTTTAAATAGGAGGTTTCAATCGATCGTTTCCATTTCGGGTGACATATGATGAAGTTCTTTCTGCTATTGAACAAGAAGATGAAGAGGCTAAAAACATAAAACGTGCACCACGTTCTTATGAAGAGACTGTTAAAAAACAGAGCACAATTAAGATAGTAACTAAAAAAGGTGATGTAGCAACAGAAAAAAAGAAAAAGAAAAAACCTAAACAAATGGCAACATCTAACAAGCAATCAGTAACTGATGTTCAACAGGAAGAACTTGAAGAAGACGAAGAGCAAGAAACGAATAATAATGATGAAGAAAAACAGATTGAAGAAACGAAAGACGAATTATCGGTTGATACAGATGAAAAAGAACGCATTCCATTAGAAGAAGTTCAACAACCAATACTTTCAATAGCTGAAAAATTATCAGCAGCTGGTAGAAAACCAGGACAATTTACAAAGGCTTCAGCAACGTACGAAAAAATAATGTTCTTGAATAATCGACAATTTTTGTATTTGAATTTTGTTTTTAGTAAAGCTTCACCTAAAGTAGAGAAAGGTAAATCAAAAAAGGCTATGGCTCCATCAAATGTCAGCAGAATGGATACAAATGGACTTGATTATGGACCAAAGACAGAGAGAGAAAAAGTGGTTAGTATCATTAACAAGCAAAAATTTTCATATTAATAATAAAACCTAATTAGAAACATGAATTGAACGTTTATAAATCATAGGACATATTACTTATTCTCAAAGTTTACCTCTAGAAAACATTGAATTATGATTGTGAAACTATAATTAGTTCTTATTTAAATGAGAAGAAGTAGGTAAGAATCGAAATTTTTGTGCTCTTCTAAAAGATGAGTCTAGAAATCTTTTTTTTTGTTGGTTAGTAGTGAAACAGTTCTTGAGAATCGAAACTTAATGCGAAAAGCTTAGTTTCATACATCAGAGCGTGGATGTGTATTCTGCTTTACAAAATGAACTATCATATGTTTTGATGAAATATGAAAATTCTTTTTCTTTTGAAATATCTTTTGAGAAAATGCTCACATTTTCACTTGTGTACAAGTTACATTTTACTTCGACATCAAACTTTGTAAAGAAATATGCTTTCTATCAAATAATTGCATTTAACTATTGTTAACGTTTATTTGAAGCAACTTATACAAATAGTAAATGTCCATTTATTTCGTCGCCTAGTGAATTTTTCAAAATGTTGCACAATTCTCTCCAGTAGCCGAAACGACTAGAATGTTTTTGGTCACCGCCTTCAAGTTTTTTTCAATTCTCTGCCCGGATCGACCATAAGTTTTTCCTTGATTGCCTCATCACGTCTTTATAAAAGTGATTTGTATCTTTTGACCATGTGATTTATTTTACAATATATTACGAAAAATAGACATATGAGCACAAAAACGATATAGTTCGAGATCAATTAATGTTTTACTTTGTTATTATCTATCGAACGAAGAAATAATATATTACTGACAATTGTTGGGCTTAAATTTGATCTTCTTTAGTTGGCAACTTAACTTACTTCCCAACACTTCCTTTTGACAGCAGCTGAAGTGCATGGTATTAAGTATATGCATCATGCTAATTAACATGGCTTCATCTTAAGCTCTTCTTGCCCCGAGAAAAATAGACTCTAATCTTCTTATTAGTATAGTATAAAAATAGATACAAAATTTCTGAGTCAGTCTTCGAAGAAAAAGATAAAATTCAGGTCTTGATCCACAATTTGTATTGCAACACAAATACAGTTAACAAGACCAAAAATAAATAAAATATTACCCAGAAATGTTGGGCAAATCGCTCCTATCAAACAATACATATAAAATTTGTGTACTTATATTCGAAACGAGCACAAAATTTTAGTCCTAACTTATAACTTTTCATTGGTATAGAAATACTTTCAAGCGGATCTAAAATGAATAAACTTTTTGTTAAATATTGCATGTCTCTATTTATATTTTATTAAAATAACATTGAATCTCTTTTTTTTTTCTAAAGAATAATGGTCGAACAAATATTACTACTCCAATAGCTGATCGACCTGAACATGGAGATTTAAAAACTATGGCTGTCGAGTATGTCTATTTTACTTTTACATTAGAAACAAATATTGTTTTTTTCTTTCTCAATCTATTATTAAAGTTCACCAAGCCTTACATCTGGTTTAGTCGATGGTTTTTGGTCAAAATTAAAAAAAGTTAATGTTTTTGCATCGAAAACATTAACAGCTGATGATTTACGTACAGGCATTGAAACAATGCGTGAACATTTAATTGCAAAAAATGTTGCAGCAGATGTATCTGAAAAAATTTGTGAATCAGTTTCAAATAAATTAGCTGGAAAAACCTTAGGTTCATTTGAAAGTCTTACATCAAATATTCGTCAAGCTATGCGAGATACATTAGTTATGATATTAACACCTAAACGACGTATTGATATTCTTCGAGATGTTGTTGATGCACAACAAGCACGTCGTCCTTATGTTATTACATTTTGTGGAGTTAATGGTGTTGGAAAATCAACAAATTTGGCTAAAGTAATTTATAATAAAATTTTCTTTTGATTTTTTAATTGAATCGAAAGAAAGATAAAACACAATTTTATTTTTTTTTCAGGTTACTTATTGGCTTAGTGGAAATGATTTACGAGTTTTAATAGCTGGTTGCGATACATTCCGTGCTGGTGCAATTGAACAATTATTAACACATGTACGTCATTTAAATAATATATTTAATGAAAAAAATATGCCTATGATTGAATTATATCAACGTGGATATGGAAAAGATGCAGCTGGTATTGCTGCAGAAGCAATTAATTATGGTAAAAATTTTTATTCTAGAAACATGGTTTTTGATTATTTTGTTTTTTTTTAGCTAAAGATAAAAAATTTGATGTTGTTTTAATTGATACAGCTGGTCGAATGCAAAATGACGAACCATTAATGATTGCATTGGCTAAAGTAATTTTTTAAATTGTTTATTTGTCTTATATTTTAATTGATTTTTTCTTAAAATTCTAGTTAATTCATTTTAATAATCCTGATTTAGTTTTATTTGTTGGTGAAGCATTAGTTGGAAATGAAGCTGTTGATCAAGTAACGAAATTTAATCAAGCACTTATTGATCATGCACGTTTACAAAGTAGTCCACGCGTTATTGATGGAATTGTTTTAACTAAATTTGATACAATTGATGATAAAGTTGGCGCAGCTATATCAATGACTTATACAACTGACAAACCGATTGTTTTTGTTGGTACTGGACAAAAATATCAAGATCTTAAAACGCTTAATGCAGATGTTGTTACTGAAGCTCTTTTAAAATAAATAATCATACTTACCTTTAACATGGTGATGGGATTTTTCTTTTCTTTTTTTTTTCTGAGTGCCATATTTACTTTCTTTATCAATATATATTTTGTCAGTTTTTTTTCTTCTACATATTTATGTTTTCCTTTATTCATGATTATTGTTGTTTCGTTTTGTCTATTACAATGAACTACTTTTACAATTAAAATCAATAAGTGTTAAGTGAACGTTTTCATCTTAATATAACAGAATTGTAATTGTCAATTAGTGTTCTGCAATTGGATTGGATACCCGGCTCTGTCCGAAGCATGATATTATACCTGGAACCGATCCGACAATATATGAGATCTCGAAGTTTCAAAATATTTTATTTTTTCAAATTTAGGAATGAAAAACGGTTCGATCATGATTGAGCAATTTATTGTACTTGAGAACAAGTCATAGAAGTAGAAATCGATATTGTTCTACTACAAAAATTCAGTTCTAATGAACAACCATCCACAGATGATGACGAACCATATGACAAAGTAATTGAATATATGGAGAGAAAAATGAACCTTTCAAGAAGGTGAACATGTATTTCAACAAACAAATGTATATTTAGCGAAATTGATCGGATTTTAGAGGCAGAAAAACATTAAGTGAAATTTGAATCACTTTCTTTTTTGTTGCTATCTATAGAAGAAACTACTAGATAATCTACTTCTTCGTTCTAAATGTAAATGTAATTTTTCTTTTATTTTAAATTCATACAAAATATTCATTCATATGCCAAAAGATAGAGAATTTCAAGCCTTATAAAACTATGAATTTTTACATGAAGCTGTCGTTTAAAATTTTGAAATATAGATGAAAAGATAACTAATGTCATCAAGAATATTTTCGTTCTTTTTTTAGATCCCGTGAATTTCTCAGTAGTGATGTCACACTATATTTTTGTTTTTAGTTACGCAATAGGGATGTACAATGTACCTCAGTATATTGGTTATTTCGAAATTAAAAAAAGTTCTCTCTAAAACTGAATTGCACAATTTTGTAAAGCTTGAAATTCTTCATCTTTTGACATATGTTCAAATTTTATATGACTATAGTATATGATTCAAAACTTGTATTTATAATTCGTCCGTTTCCTTACGGTTCACCTATTATAAATAATCTATCTAATGGTATACTGTCAGAGGGGTTAAAAACCGTTTCTTTCTTCCAATTAATAGCAGATGCACTTCTCATGAGTGACATATAATATTTAGTTCGACCCTTTGAATAAGTTCAAAAGATTTTCATATAACACACTCTAGAACTAAAAAAGGAACATTATTATAATATGCTTATTAGGGGCAACTCTCAATTTTTTAATACAGCATCAGAAAAGAATCTGTTTCTGTAGAAAGGAACATGTTAATAAATGGCTATTCAAGAATAGCTATATCCTATTTATAACTTGCATCTAACACTGTCTATAAAATATTGATCTCATAAATCTAAAGATACCATTTTATTCAAATTTAATGTGAAGAAGTAGTATGAATAGAGAAATAAGTATAAACTCGAGATCATTTATGATTTTCTTTCAATGAAAAAATATTTTATTTTTGTACGAAAAATACAAAACATAAAAATATAATCATATCTGTCAAAGAAACACAAAGTATAAAAATATAATTTGACATAAAAGCTGGAAAAAAAATAAATTTGTGATCTTATCCAAAAAAGATCAAAAGACTGTTACATCATGATTTTTTTCTTACGTGGAATAATCTAGATGAAAAAATTTCTAGTGGAATTCAATCTTAAAATCGTTTAAAATAAATCTTATATGACTTGGTGTACTTTGTGAAGACGCATTTATATCACTTGTTACTGTTAATCCATGTGGATCACTTATCTCTATGAAGTCATCAAGGTCGTGTTTATTTTGTGATGTTGATGATTGAATCTGGGAAGAGATAAATGTAAATGAATAAAAATGTTCTTCAAATTGTTTAGAAGAAGAATATACATACGACGGTTATCAAAGGGTATGGGTGTGGGTTCTATCGAAAAGATTACTGACCTATACCCACACCCACACCCTCGTAGTTTTTTTTCTTTTTACTTAGATATTCTATCTCTATTATTATGGATAACTGTTTTCATTTATCACTTTATTTGATGATCTGAAATCGATCGGTTGCACTAGAGTTATAAAATAAGCACGCATTTCATATGTTCTCGATTGTATTGCTAACAGAAAAAGTGAACTGTGACATGTGTTAGACATACAGTCTACATTGATATAAAAATGAACATAAGTTTCGTATTAGAAAACATAAAAACACAAACTTGCTTTTCTGTATTTTATATTGAAAACATGTCTCATTGTTAAATTTTCAAAATAAAAAGATAAAAATAGAAAAAGATAGCCAGCATTGACTGTACCTAAATCAAGCGCTAAAAAACACAAACGATTAATCAGAACTAGATAGGTTGCCCTCGTTCAGTTTAATATTGATTGACAAATAAATAAAAAGAATGTATGCGTTGATGTCTTGGCATTTTTCTTACTGATGAATACATTTTACATGAATATTTGCATACTTAATAAATGAAAACTAATACTTTAACTCTTTATCCCCATTGGCAACTGGAGTTGTCATTTATAGAAACATTGCAGAAAATACAGAAGATGTGGTATTAAAAAAAAACTCTTTACACACTGTTTATAGAGAACTCCCTAAGCTGTCGATTGGCAAAAACAAGTTTTGTATCCTTGCTCTGCTTCAAAGATAAATGACTTACAACAGAGACAATTATAAGAGTATTAAAAAAATGTCCTCCTCTTTCTAAATTGTTTTTTTTTTGCTCACGAGAAATACCTGTTTTGATGATGTGTTGTGCGATAAACATGAACGAAAGTTGATACTACTAAATAAAGCACTTTTAAAAATTTTCACGTGAACTAGTTTAACAGGAGATTGTACGACATAAAATGACAGCTGAAGTTGCCGTCGGGAAGTAACCACATGAAAAAAAAAGATTTAGAAACTCTCGCCTAAACGCAAAACTTGTTAATATTTACGCATAGATAAGTAAAGAGACTGTTCTTATTTATAAATACGAGCATAATTTATTGTTATATAATGTATGGCATAGGTGTGGATGTCAATTTCGCACAACAAATGATCCAAACTATGTTCAAACTCACACTCTAATGCTTTTTAATCTTATTATATTCGAAGTTGAAGAAGAATGAACCAAAAACTAATTGTGTTCTTTACTTGATAATCTAATTACTTCGAAAAAAAGATACTTTATGTACATAGAAAGTTGTTTGAGAAGTACATATATTGTGGTTGAAGAAAAGAAAATCTAGTCATATGTTGAATCTTTTTATTCATATCATTGAAATGAAAAAATACATTGCACTTCTACGAATCAATAAGCTACTCTCAAAAGATTGAAAACAATATTCATGTAGTTACTCCCTAACGGCGGCTGGAGTAGCGAAATTATCATGCAAATAGGGAAGCCATCCGATCGATCTGCTTATATTATTGATCTACTGAAGATGATAATACTTTGTTTCAATAGTTATTTTATTGGTAAGTCTTCTGGAAATGTTATGAGGAGTAAAGGGTTAATATTCGGTTCCTGAATCTCGAAAAAGAATCGAGTGAAATATGAACAACTCATTTTTCTAATCAATTTTTATATACAACAAATTCGATCATGAAGATATATAGATTTTCTGAGTGTCGATATCATTTCCGACTATCTCCGTTACCTGTGATACAAATTTGTTAAGATTTAAAATAATCTAAAGATTGTTTTTGTTTTTCGTTACAATTCCATCAAAATTATAATACAATATTTTATTCGTCAAAAGCACCATAATTGAATACCTTCTAATAAATTCTCTTATTCAACTTTTGCATTCATAAGATGATATTAGTAATTTTATGAAATTTCTGTAGAAACAGGATATTTTTTGTGCAATCTAAGCTTCATTAAGAAAAAGAATTAAACTACAATTAATTTTAAAAACTCGAGTATTTGTTTTATGTTTTTATAGAATAATAATTATTTATGAATGACAGTTCATATACCGTCAATGTTAGTTATTAATTGAAATACAACAGAATAGAAAGAAAATAAGGTATAACATCGAATATGATTTATTTGGTTTTAGACTAGCAAATATAAACTACATTCACTATTGTTTGTATGCAGCGTGTAAATGTAGCTTATCTCAACCACCATAACGTCGTTTTTTTTTTAAAGAGATAATCATGTGATGTAAAAATTAAATTTCCTACGAATTGAGCGTCATCTATTGAATTATCATTCTTATTTGTTAACCAATAAGAAAAAGATGAAGAAATTTTCTTTTTTATTTCTTCGCAGCAGTCATTTCCCGATTTATTCTATTTAAGTCAAGGACAAGTTTTATTATTAAAATCTCATTTACACTTCAAAATTATCGTAAATTAATTCGGTATACGTACGTATCATTATGAATAACATATTATTCTAATTGTTGTATATTTAATCATATTATATTTCCTTTGGAGATAGTATTGCAGTTTAATGCATGATTACATTCAATTATTCTATTGCGCATATTAATTACAATGATGATAAGGAAATATTAAAACTGTACTAGTACTCTGAAAATTTTTCTTATTACTTTGGAAGATTTTTCTAGTTTTACTGCAATCGAGTTGTATAATTTATGATTGAAGAATGATTTATACTATTGAAAATATTATATTTTCTAAATTTAGTTTGTTTATTTTAGATGGCACGTGATCGACCTAGTCGTCATCATCGTAAACATTCTCATTCATCATCATCATCATCACCATCTTCTTCTCGTTCATCAACACCATCACCTAAACATCGTCGTCTATCAAGCGATAATACTGATCAAATACTTCAAAAACATAGTCGATTTTTTTCGAAATTACCAGATGGTCCATCCAGTGGAATAAAACGAGAAAAAACAGATGTTGATAATATTCCTTTTCCACAACCATCAT